TGAGGAGGAGGTGATTGGGAAGACGCCAAGAAATTTTGAGATGGGCGTGAAAAGTCAAGTCTTCGTCAAATGTTACACTTTGAGACCAATCATGAGATTTATATCACTTCTTGATAAAAAAAGGTTGGAACCGATTTTCAAATGTGTAGCTCTTTTAAATAAAGATGATATGCAATTATTCAATTGACATTTTTACTAACAGGTGACTATGAACAACAGTTGTTGTGATTGATTGTCTTATATAAACTATTGAGTCTAAATCAACCTAAGTGGAGTTGAGTTCAAAAGAAACTGTCTCGCCAAAAACTTAATCCACTCTACATTTTCATGCTATTTGAGTAAAAACACACATCATCCATGACTCTTGGACTATCTTATGAAGATAATTATGCATATTTTTATTTTTGATTCCTCGTAATATTCTCAATAAATTTTTCTTCACTTTTTCATGAAAAAATTGTGTATGATGCTGGAGACATTTACCCTCTTTGTCTACAACATGTGCGGAGAAATTAAGCATAGTTGAAAGAGAATATTATCTATTTATCTGTCCGTGAAGACAATCAAGACGCAACTGAACTTGTTGCATATACTTCTGTTTATCGATATATTCATTAAGAATTTAGATATCTGGAGAGTGCAAAAGTCAAAACCCATCGAGATATTTGTTTTGGTTAGATGATGACTCTACAAAGTTCAACCAGTTAGTTTAGGTTGACACCCTATTAATGTTTTATTTTCAAGAAAAGTAACAGATTCCACAAAGTGTACTAGATTGATAAAATTTGGTTTTGATTTTCGGACCACGATTTCTCCTTGCATTTCGAATTATTCTTTCATTGGGTTATAAACTACATAAGTCTTTCTCGTGTTGAAAGTATGTGAAAATTCCACTTTGCAATATTCGAAGCTTTCTCAGTACTGGGTTTTAAGATAATGGACGGATTTAATTTAGAACCAATACCGCCCTGTCCGACTTCACATTAACGTTTTCGTTTGATTTGATTAGGCCCGTTTCTGCTTAAATCGCCCAAAACTCCAATATTTTTAGAAAAATAGACAAAAATGAGAGAAGGTTTTTTTTTTCTTGTCCCTGAAGTAGAGATTGCGATCAAAACTGTCATGGGAATGGTACATAATACTTAGAGATGCACGTGGTGCATTTCCAGGATCCGTAAATATTTTAATTGTCACTTATACATTTTCTACGGTATTGGCGTAGAGAGTTATGGGCAGGTCCTAACATCCCTTTATGTTTGGAATGTCTTGGGCTTATGAGAGTGGAGTTTTACAGAGATTCCAAAAAATTTCACAGTGAAAACAGTGTAAAAACTGTTTTCTCCGTACGGGACATTAAATTTGTGTACTTGAGGTTTGATATTCAAATGCAATCTTGACTTTTGGTCCCATAACGAACATTATGGGACAATGACATCTAATTATCCACAGTACGAAGCGAGGCTTAAAGAAAAATCTACATAAGTCGTAATATCTCGTAAGTGAGACAACCATGTGATACCATTTAAAGAGGCCATAAATACAGCGTACATGACTGCCATGCCATGGAGGGTTCTGGGTCAGCTGTGAAGGCCCCTCCTCCCTATATCATTGAACAGTTACGTCCTGATAATATTCTCCAGGTCCTTGCTGCTTGTAGAATATGTGAAAAAGTCTATTCTGCTAGCGAGGAGGACAACTCGAGGCTGCAACTTGTGATAATGAACGGGATCACGCTACACACCCATCACTTGGATCACCGTGTGCTTCTTGTCCACCAGCGATCTAGAAAAAGATGCACGCGGAATGATCCATGGTGTGGCAAAAGTCACGGACTTTGACGTCTGCTGCAACACCATACATAGTGAAGGTGTCAACTCAGCAGCAAGGAAGAAAATGAATCGAGAGGGGGACTCGCTTTTCGCAAGAGGATATTCGCCGTGTTCGGGGACTTTTGAGAGATCTGCTGCGTCTAGAAAACAGAACCATGTGGTGCCTACGTATGTGCGCGAGGGGGGCCCCTGGAGAATACCGAGGAGAACAATAATGTACAAAGTGTTTCGATGGTTTAGATAAGGATGATCCCAAGGGGCTAGATAGATAGATAGATAGATAGATAGATCGATCGATCGATCGATCGATCGACTGATCGATTTATAGATGGCTGACTGTGGTTCTAGGAATCTAGGACACGATGCATGATGCCACTGCATCAATAACTCTGCATCTTTGAATCGGCGATATCGATGAGCGTATCCACAATAAAGCTTTGACTTTGTAGATTAGCACAATCGGAAGGTATCATATCTACCACAGATTCTAAGCTCGTCTCCCGAATGCTGGATGCCACTCGAGAGCCGAGGGGGAGAGGGAGGGAGGGAGGGAGAGGGAGAGGGCGAGACAGACTGACCGACTGACTGGCGTCGTCGTAGTGCATTAGCTGATTCACTTGCGCAGCTGCAACTTCCAAGTCGGTGGTACAGGCCGGCGCTCGAGGCGACGGAAGTAGATGGCTAGATACGGTCAGCAATACGTGGGCGAGTGGCGACTGGGAAACTGGGGCTCGCATAATGGGGAGGGGGTTGTATAGAGAAGAGTGTGGAGGATCTCGTGGAGTGCCGTCTGTGACAATCAAATCAATTCAGGTCGCTCTATCCGGGCAGGTGGGAGGTCACATGGCTCGGAGGCTTTCTTCTCGGGTATGTCCGTGCGTATGATGATGCACTCTCTGGTGCATGAGTCCATGGAGGACAGCTTCGTGAGAATCTTAACTGCCCCGGACTCGTAGACGGGAGAAATTCTCTGCTTTAAGATACCAGTTTGTGGGCAGATAGATAGCTTTGCGCCTGTTCGCTTTCGTGAGAGCAAGGACGCAAGGGCGCAACTGGCGAATTCTTCTACACCCCAAAGTCAATCTCGTACCTCACCTGACAATCAACTTTTTACCTGAAAACTTGTACTTCAATTCATTATCGAATCACTTACCTCCGCTCCGCTCCGCCCCAACCACTGGCGGGCGATGGCGGGCGAAACGGCAGGCAGGCAGGCAGGCAGACAGACATCGCCACCTCGCCCGTCCTCGGTTCGTCGTCGTTGTCGTCGTCTCGTGAGGTTGCAACTTCCGGCTCTGTGTCATGCGACGAACGGCGGAGCTGCAGCACGAGGCAGATCCATTCTCGAGAGTCATGAGTAATAACTATGGACGGGTCAGCGCACAAAGGTGGTTGTGCTTTTGCTTGAGCTTCTGGCCTTCTGCTTCCGGGACAGACTTCAGAGCTCGGCCTTTGTCTCCCAGCCCAGTCCCCGGGAAGCACGACCTGAGGTGCTGAGGTCCTGAGCTCAGCGGTTGGTTGCAAGACTGTTGCAAGGCGAGCAGGAACAGCCAGCCACATACTCGTCGAAAACAGTTGGGGTCCATCCGTGATCATTGCAACAGCTTGACTCCGACGAAGTCAGCTCATAATGCTGGGTCCGGGCATGAGACGGATTAGAGAGGCTCAGAGAGCGCCAGTGAATAGTGAGTGAGGGGACTCCAGGGAGGGCCAGGAAGGAAGGAGGGAGGGAGGGAGGATCCGAATGCTCCTGGCAGCCAGCGGCGCACCTTCAGAGAGTACTCGGAGAAATGAATAAGGGCTGACCTTTTGAGAACCCAACAAAGTTGGAAACTTTGGAAAGTTGGCCAACTTTCCTTTGCTACAGGCAGCAGCGGCAGGGGAGGGGAGGAGGAGATGATCGTCATCATGATGGGTGAGCGAGCCCCAACGAGTCAACCGCATGACATGCATTCATCATATCATTCTGCTGACATTGAGATCTCATTCTAACCTTTTTCATGTCGTGCTCTTGAGCAAATCTCGCTCGAGTTCCATGAGGTTGTCCGGTCAGGGTAGCAGCCTGTGATTGGAGCGATGTGTGCTCGCGGCACACGGAAGTGAGGGCATTGATGAGTAAGGAGGTGACCTTTTGATCCACCCAGTGTCACCCTCTTATCCCCAATTATTTCTTCCCTGTGGCCGCATTCACTGGGAGCTGAGCTGACCTTGCCATCCACCGCCCACAGCAAAGCAAATCAGAAGCTCGCTCGCCACCTTTTCTCACCCCGGAACCGCGGTTGTTGCAGTACGAGTCAACCTCATCATCGAAAGAAAAGAAGGCTCAAATTCACAAGTGGTGAGACAAGTCGCCGTGAAGGTTCATCCAGCTAAGGACAGGAGGGACAAACAAAGTAGAAAGGAATAAGACGGAAATGGGAGGTAAGGGAAAGTAATGAAAAGGAAGTGAGGAGGGGAAGGGAAGGGGAAATGCCGTACTGTACCCAGATACTGGACAACCCTAGTGTCTGAGCTCTCGGTTGCTTGCTCACTGCTGGCGTGTGCCGCGTTGCCTGTCAGAGGAGGAGGTCAACTATGGCATGTCTAATTTGAGCAGTGTGCATGGAAACAGAAGAACAGCGTCGCTTGGAGGGGCAAATGAAGTGGTAGCTGCTGCCCAAAGTATCAGCATCAGCAGCAGACAGGCAGGAACAGGAGCAGCATCGGCGCGCTTGCCTTCTACCAATTCAATTCTGCAAACCTGTCAAAAGCTGAGAACACCAAATGTCGGACAGAAGCCAGTGGTTATGGCACCCATAGGCTATGGGTGTTCTGGAATCTTGACAGTATGAGTGGCCCAAAGCTGTCAGCGGGTGAGAACCAGAACCACTCCAGTGCGCACCGTACGTCAAAATGCATGAGACGCATTCACATTGACCATGGCTGGTCAACTCGCGAAATGATTGCACGCGATGTCGTAAACCTTCAGGCTTTAACATGAAACACACAAAAAGTGATCACACTAGAAGAGGATGAACTTCAGGTTTCAGGACGTAGACCCAAGCACATGCAGGTTATTTCAAGTGGTCGTCACTCGCACACAACTACACACACTCGTTTGAGACGAGAGGTCACGGAGCACTTCGTGATGTCCACTGTTACAGAATCCCAAAATCGTTTCAACCTTTATTCAGGCATCTTTCGAACTACATTCTCTAGTACACATGCGAATAATGTACAAACAATTTTATGTGAATGATCAAGAATCAAATATTTGTTCCGGGACTTCAAGGTCACAGAACTGATCAAAAAGCCAAAAACCTATTTCCACTGACACTCAATCTCTTTCTCTCTCTTTCTGTCTGTGTGGTGTGCTCTGCTCTGCTCTGCGGTAATTGCAGATTCATGCAGTGCTAAACTCTCTCTTACATTCTTCGATTAATGAGATAGCATATAATACTGTCGTCCCTTCCTTCATTCGTCTGCCTGTCTCTATCTGATTGTCTCTCTGTCTAATCTCGTTGGCTTTCTCGCTATGACTTAACCGATCGCCGGCGATCCAACAACAGGGTTAGGGTTAGAGCCTGGAGAACTATAGTCTTCGGTGTACGCAATCAGTGCCCTGCGATCGTAAACGCATCGTGCGTAGGTTGCTTGCGGAAATGCCATGCATTCCTTCAATTCTGCCTGTATCGCCTCTTTTAAGGGCTGCGGTAATTTGTCCAGGAACGCTAACTGCGCCAATCCAATTCAGCCAAGGTCAAAATTAGGCCCCGCTATCATTCATTCACGATTGACCAAAGTAAGTTCCGCCGCCCTCAAATGAATTCAAGCCATGTCACAATTATCATCGCTTGTCGACACATCACAAATTGACAGTCCCATCCAATTTTCACGCAAATCTCTCCTCCTAGCCCGAAAAAGATTCAGAGGGCGTCTGGAGATTCTTCGTGGTTCCCTGCAAGCAATAATCAGTCCCTGTGGACGACAGCACTCCTCGAGAGATGAGCGAGACGCGGTGTGTCGAGATTCTCGACCCTGCGTCATCAGTCTGCAAGGAGCTGGGGCAGGAGAAGGCGCTCAGATGAACCCACGACTTCAGCTCTCGCATATTTTACTCGCAATATGGAGCAGACGTTCTTCGGCGGGAAGAATATCTTAACGTGAAAGCAAACCGCCTCCCGTCTCGAGACGACGGAAGCACCATGGCCCGACAGTGGGAGAACAGAAACGCGAGAATCAGAAAGCTGCAGGTTTTATTGTACCCATGAGCCAAGTGTGCAAGATCATGCGGAAGGTGACGGGACGATGGTACTGACCTCGTCTACCTCGTTTTGTTCCAGCGGAGACTGCACTACTTGCGACTGTCGGTTAGAGAGGTTCCCTGCGCATGGGCCAATAAAGGACAGGTTAGTATAATAGAGAGAGAGAGAGAGAGGAAAAGAGCATGGACGAGGCCTCGGTTGCCAGTCTGCCACCTTCAGAGGAGCAACGGAAGCACGCAGGACTAATATAACATGTTCCGACGTTTGCGAGTCTGAAATCGTGGGCTACTGTAAAATTAAGCGACAGCCGATGCCTCCAGCGACAATTTCTAGCTCACGGTGCTGCTCTAGGACACAGATTCTGCTCCGGAGAATAGACGCTGGGCTCCGATGACCCTGGCACAACCTTCTAATATTAGGGAGTGCTAAAACCGGAGACGAGAGTGCTGCACATGGCAAGCAAGCTTCGAGCATTCATTCATGCACTCATTCAGTCATTCAAGCTCTCAAGAGAAAGGCTGAGAAGCATAAGGCCGCGCTCCAACTGACGAGGACTGGTCAGGACTGGGAACGGGGAGCGCGTAGCGCAATGCCGGATGAGGCAAATTGACAGTCGACGGGACCGAAGGAGAAGGGGAAGGGCAAGGGGCGGGGGAGGAATTCTATCGAGAGGAAAAAGGTCGATTGCACAAACCTGAAGGAGGAAGACGGAGAGCAGCAGCAGCGGTGAGATGAAGCGAGAGAAGCACTAGGAGGAGGAGGAGGAGGGCGGACTGGCGGCCCCTCTCGAGGCTCAGAAGTTGCGCCATTGTTAGAGTTGACTTTCAGGGGCGCGTGACGGTGAGAATGCAGATGGCCAGATGTGGCATCCGAAGCCACCATGGCTCGCCTTCCCTTCTCCCCTCCCCTCCCCTCGCCTCCCTCCCTCCCTCCTTTCTGCCTTTCTCCCTCTCTCCCACTCTTCTTACTCGCTCGCTCCTTCCCTCCCTCCCTCGCTGGCTCGCGCTCGCGCTCTCGGCCTCCTTCTCAATCTCAATCTCCTTCTCCACCTTCTCCTCCGCCTTCTCCGCCTTCTCCTCGCGAGCTCTTTCAATCAAGCCCGCGCACTACATTCGATCTCCACGACACAATCACTCCACCAACCAAAATCCCCCGCCCTCGCCCTCGCCCTCGCTTCTCTCGGCGAGCCTGCATTCCTCCCTCCCGAAGATTCCTCCCGACAAATCCCGACCGCGATGATGATGCGCCCTCTCGCTCTCGCTCTCGACTCAGCGCTCGTTGTAAAAATATTCAACCTTCTTGACTTCGGCTCCCCCGCCCGCCCGCTCTCCCGCTCGCCCGCTCGCCCGGCCCGGCCCGTTCCGCCTTCTCGGCTGACTTTGATAGCCTTAACGTTAACGCGCCAGTATCCCAATCTGCTGCCGCAAAGTGTGTGCGTGGCCGCGCATTCTGGCTTTCTGTTCGTGTCTTTTCCTCGCGTGCCTCGCCTGGCACAGATTTTGGCCGCCTGGGCCGATTCTGCACCCGCTGCTCACGGGCGGGGCCAGTCGGCCCGCGCCGCGTGGGGGCTGCGCCAGTTCGGGCGGGCATCCGATCAGCCTCACCCTCCGCCACATCAGCATCGCACCGACCGACCGACCGCCCGCCCGCCCGCCCCCGTGGAGAGGGAGGAGGCCCGGAGGCTCGAACACCGACGTCTGATCGGCGGCATTGGCCTGGCCCGCTGCCCACTGACTCCTGCCCAGTGGACTCGCGACTACGGCCGGGTGGACTCGGTAGAGCCCTGTAGTCCGGGCGGGCGGGCGTTTAATTACAGGGCAGGATATGGAGAGAATCTTCGCCATCACCAACTCCGAGATCTCCGCATCACCCGTCCACTCCACGTTGACTTTGCCATGGGAGTTCGTTCTGTTCTGTTCTACCGCCTCTCTAGAGCCCTCTCTACTCCTGTACCGTAGTACTTGCCGTATTTCGTTTCCGGGTACACCAAAGCCCCCCCCCCCCCCCCCCCTGTTCTCGTACGGGGATAGAAAGACCGTTCCCTCATAGGCTCGCCGTTCCGCTTTTGGATGCAGAAACTTGACTCCGGCCCCCATCTGTAGCAAGAGAACGAACTTCGAAACATTTTTGGGAACTAACGACGTTGCTCCCATGTTGCATGCCATTTATTATTCGCAGTCGACACCTCTTCCGCCCCCCCGGGCGATCGCCAGATCCCAGGCCCGGTGCTTTTTTATTACAGGACTTCCGGCACTGGGAAAAGTGAATTGCGTGTTTTCCCTGATTTCGTCATGCTGGTAGGTAGCTCGCTGCCGGGTTTATTTAAGTCAAATGGTGGTACTTTCAAAACACAATTGCTGCTTTTGGGCTCGGCAACGTAATCCTGATGATTGCATCATGCTTGAAACTTGGGCTCTCGTACAGATTGCTGCTGAGGTTGTTGATGTTTCGCAAAAGACTGTCATTCAGATATTTTTCTTCCTCCCCCCTCCGTTTTTACTGCTGCAAACGTTGCGGTTAGCGTTGCTTCCGAGCTCAAGCCTAATGCAAACAAGCTCGTGTGGATTGAAAGGATAAATGAGGAAATCGGTGAGAAGTTAAAGTATGATGAATTCAGAAGAAAGCCGGAAAGAAAAGCACGTCACCTTTATCTGCAAAACTTGCAATTGCAAGAGTATCGAGATTGATATCCTCTATTGAAATTCCAATTGCTTGGAGCTACGACTCTTGCTATATTACAGTACTATAGCTGCGTTGGCAAGATCTTTGAGGTTGACTGAAGCCAGGTGTTAATTACTACAACATTTTCACCTTGATTCTACCTGATTTGAAACCACTTTCTTGTATGCGATATGTCTTATGTACCGAGTAGAGTCACTGAACTTCCTCCATTAAATGCACGAACAACTTCTTTTCGAAACTATAAATGTCAGCTTGTCTAGGTTTGAGGTCAAACACAAGTTCTCATTATGCATATCTGACAGTAAACAACCAGAAGGATAACGTTGTTTACGGAGCGTAATTATAGGCAAATCTTGATTTCGTTGACCACGAGAGTCAACTGTTGAAAATAGTCAAAACAGTGCGGAAGAAGTCGATTTGGTTCTATGACCAACTTAAATGTGAAGGCCAGTACAAAATTATGTTTCTGGCTTAACACACGTCAGTTCTGTAAACGAATCATATATTGATAACTTCAGAGTGATGCTGTACTTCACTAATGGACAAAATGTTCTGACTTTGTTTAATACTGAGCGAAGTCAGCACAGCAATTACTTTTGTATACACCATTATTCTTCAGGAATCTCCTTTTAGATCTAGAAGGTATTATTTGATCATTCCTCTTAGCTTGATCCATTGTATTCTTTTATTTATGAAAATTTTGCATGAAGCAAGAACTCAACTCGTTTGAAAGTAGACAATCACAAAGGAACGACAACCTCTCACCATCTATTTGGACAATTCCAATCCCCTCGCATGAGTATCGATCCATTCCACCAGTTTGTTGAAAAGATTATCTGCATTTCCTCGCGTACCCTTCTACACCTCCGTTGAATATAACGTATGCATCTTACTTGCAAAGAAGTCATATCCTCCATACGGCTGACTATCTTTTACTCAAAATGTGGCTTCTGTTTGATAAATTGACACCTGCCTGAGAAGAGGCAGTGATCAAATGAAGAATCAAGGCGCACATACATGTCAAATTGCTCGAGCAATTTGTCATTGATGAGATGAGCATTGTCGTCGAGCTTTCACTCCCTTGAAGCGGAGTTAAGAACCATATTGTCAGCACAGGTCTCTCATTTCCTCATCTTTTAGGGCAAGGGACTGCCAAATCAGACTTCGGAATGAATTGCCATGTGTTCCATGAGTTGGAGATTGCACTCCGATGACAATTTTGCAGTTCGTCCTTCATTCTTCCTGAGTACTTCCTCGCGAGTTTCTATATTATTTTTCGACATTACATTCCTTACCTGAGTACTTTGTGGTCCGGGTCAATGGACCATAACATCATTCATACTTCACATATGTCTCTTTCCACGTACTGATGGTATCCGTCTACTCTGGTGACAATGCCTCATCTTATCAATTACTGGTTACTTGAAATCTGTTTCTGAAAGTTGTAATCATCGGGGAAAAGTAAGGTGGATGCCCACATATATAGTTGAAAAGCACTAGAGCGAGGATGCTGACGAAAAAGCGTGAGTTGATTCTGTCATGAACGCAGAGCTCGAAGTTCTGCCCACCCACTTTGTGTTTTTAGCGTTAAGATGGTAGGAACGTGTGTGCAAACGGTCTACGGTCAGATGGAGGTATGACAGTTGAACAGGCCTGTGTTGATGCTGAAGAAGGCGACAGGATGCAGCGCTTTGTAGTGGTGAAAAGCCAGTAGGAGTGGATCTAGACTCTTCAGGAATTCGTCGAATGTTGGTGTCCTTTCTCATGGTGTCGTGTCCGTGGCTAACTGTTCCTCCTCTTGCGCTCCTCTCTAGGTCAACAAAGCTGGATCCAGCATGGTCATGATTGGTTGAGTTTTAGGTCCACGGAAAGGAAACGAAAATGTGTCATCATCGAGAGAGGCTATTATTGAAACCGATGGATCAAGTGCTAACATGGTGTCACTTTGTCTGCATTGTCAAAAGGAAGAGCGCATGGAGGCTGCATATTCTTCCTCATGGATGGTCACCGAAGGATCGACATGAAGGAGAGACGGTTGTAGTTTCGTCGAGACGTATCATGGACGGATTCCTGTGAATATTTGGCTTTTCAAGCGACAACATGACCTCCAAAGCGGTACGAATCAGTTCGCACCCTGTAACAAGAACCTCTGCATACTGACAGTGAGCACATTATTCACCAGTATTACCTCTTAATGCTCCAATCTGTGGGCGAGCCCTCGCATATGGCCGAGTCCTCAGAATTTGACACCATTCAACAACCTTGAAGAGACTCATTGACTCACCTAGACGAGTGGATCCAGACGGAAGATAGTGGAAGGAATCGCTTTGCGATAGAACGAGGTAATTTACACTGAAACGTGGAGAGCAAGGCAGGGAGCAACTTTTGTGCAGGTCAGCTAACTCGTACTATTCTCGGCAACGGAAGGCATGTTCTACGCGTGCCTTTGCCTTGGCGGCGATGATTTTGTCTCACTCCACAATGTCTGCCCGGCAAAAAGTCAATCTCCCTGGTGAGTTTCGTCCTTGAATCATTAAAGTCTCCGTACTCCTGTGTCCACGAGTTTCATATATGCACTAGTAAAGTCTCGGAAAAAGAGGTCCTGGTCTTGAGCATATGCATTGACCCACCTGCAGTCGAGAAGCAAATTCAGAACGTGAGACTTGCGAACGAAGCAAAATCCAATGCGTAGTTTCTTATCTTTATAAAAAACGACAGATCTATGTTTGTAGAAGTCAATAAGTAACAACAGTTCGGTGGACTAAAATTGCAAGAGCAAGATAGGGGCAGAAACGTACCTCAGGCACTCTTCGTCTTCTGGAAGAGCACGATCTGAATCCAAGCCTATCATTTTTGTCTCATTTTCTGTGGAATTTGTTGAAAGTCAAGAAAGATGCTCAGTATAATCTGTCTAATCAGTGTGTAGGAGGCAAGAGATTGACGTGTAACATTAAAGGCTTGGAAGTTTTTTCCTCCTAAAAATAACCTCGCTTGCAATTTAATAAGAATCCCTCGAGCATACATGATGAAGGACATGGACAGCGGCTGTGTTCCTTTAGATCGAAGCACATGATAGATTCGTCTGAATTCAGTGAACAGTGAAGACACAAGTTCAAGGTTTTGTGAGTTAACCACCTTTAGTAAGCCATGGTTTATCCAGAAGGATTTTGTAGTAGATGTTGTCAAATGTGTACGGGTCTCCAAATCCTTTGCCTCCAACACTGTGAGCACCAGATAGCGCTACGAGCTCCTGTGTTCTACCGATTCAAGACAATACATTTGTCATTGACTAAAACAAAAGGAAGTGGGAAAAAAAATAAAGAAAATATAAATGGCATCTTGTCGATCACTAGTATCGAACAACTTGAGACCTATGGATCTCTAAATCTATAGGTAAATAAGCCTGCTAATGCATCCACAATCAAATCCATCAGGTTTAAAGGTAACTCACGAGAACCCTTTGGCTTGAAATGCTTCCCTCAGCTGACTGCCAGTGAGGGTTTCCTCTGGCATTTGTCCTTCAGGATCAGGTAGTCTGAAGTGAAATATGGAAGCAATATGTGAGCTTCTTTTGATCGTATGTAAATCTGTCACGGACACCAGTGAGAGAACTGAAGCATAATTGGCTCATTCTACAAAAATTCAAGTTGATAACAAAGAAATATATTCATAAGTTTTATTCAAATAGGATAAAAGGTTAGGAAAACAAGTTTCGGGAAGCGGTATCCGAGTAACCTGAGATAAAAACGTTAAAAATCCAACGGACAAAGGGCGAGCCCACAGGCTCGAACCGCTCGAGTCATATAAATCTGAAAAGAAGCGGGGGGATATGGACTATCTATAAGAAAAGAGAGAGGTAAATCATTTGTGTGCATTGAAGTTATCCTGTCATGGACCAATAGAGCTGTAGAAATTTCAATAGAGTAAAAAGCAGTGATGTTTATAGATTGAAGAGTGCAATTAGACGTAATGGTCAGAAGCCAGTTTCTATACATGTATGTGTAGGATAAAGAAAGAAATGTATTCCGAACTGCAAGAAGGTATTGCATGGGCAAAAAACAGTTAACGAGCGATTTAGATGTAGATGAGGAATAGGACAGCGAAGCTCCTGATTTCACAAAGGGGATGGCCAGGACAGGAAGTGAAACCTGACAATGAATTTTACCTTCTACAAGTTGCATGTTCTTTCACGTTCCATTATAAAAGCCTTAAAAATGCCACGTGAAGGAAAATGAAACTTGACAGGAGATATAACAAGCAACTTTACAGTGAAAACGTCCAAGGAAACCAGAGAGTTTACGGTATACTTTACTGTAAAAAACGGTAAATGAGCCGTTTGACTGGAGAAAATGAAAGACATTAATCTCTGAGTATACAAAACACAGCAACATGCAACGTAAATACAATAGTCGAAAGAATACCACAAGAAGAACGGTTTATACACGAAAACACAAGCATACGATGAAACAGTACACTATCTCGACGTTGAAATTCTGCGCTTTGACAGTGAAGTTTACAATATCTAAAAGAGGTATTAGAGGAAGTGAAATGAAACTTTCTCTCAAACGAAAGGAATCTTCGGCGCTTGATAGTGAGAAATGGGATTGTCTAGTCAGTGAATCAAGGTCCTACGAACATTTTCGAAAAGCATAGATATATCGAGAGGAATCGGGATAACCTCTTATACAGGTACAACGTGGACGTCAGTGATGACATGATTGACACAGTATTCATCGTGGCAGCCACAAATAGAAGTAGATAAGACATGGTGTAGAAACTTAGTGAGGTGTCTGCACCGATAAACACCGTTATTATCCATCAACTTCAACATTGGGCTGCACATGTTCAACTTAAACTGTGCTGATTAGTATGACCTGTCCCAGCCTGAAGACGATAGATCCCACGCCCTTGCTCAGTGTGCTAGTTTAAAGAGAAGTAGAAGACCAGGAGACCAGAGGAGACGAAGAAGGAATAGAAAGAAAATTACATTAGTCCGTATCTGATCCGAAGAAAAGGATTTCTCTTCTAGTGAGATTTTTCTCCACGAGTGGGGATGACGTTGGAGTTTTCTAGCTATCAACCAAGAAACTCTGAACGAACTCATCGTCCTAACAACTATGAGTCCTCAGTATTTATTACTCATTTGTAAGGCAGCTTGTTTGGACTTTGGAACAAAGCTAGTTATTTACGTAGATAGCTTGGACTCAACCAGCAACGCAAAGGTTACTAACGAATCGCTCTCATTCTAGACGGAGTCATTACATCAAATATGATCACAAGAGTTTTCCCCTCCCTCCCATACATGTAAGTTGGGGAATGGGAAAAGGGGGATGACCTGAACAAGGAATCTGAGTTTATTTTCATCTTGCAGATGAAGATATCGAGGTTCAGTGTGGTCAAGAAAAGGTCTGATTTGCTGTTTGTTACATCCCTGTTTACAGTCTCTGTGAGACCAGCAACTGCCTTTGTCAACACAGTCAGTAAGTGTAGTGCATCCACTCTATGAATCAGCTCACAATGACATTTTTCGTTGCTCGTCCGATGTCATGCACCTGAGTTGACCAAGCGTAGCATGTTCGGCTCAAAGTAAACAACAATGTAATACTTTGTGTAAATACTATTCAAAGAGCAATGATAGAGAGACACTTACGAGGAGTCTAGTCGACCCAGTTGAACATCAATCTTCGGACCCCCGCATATACTCACGGCTTCTGCTCCAGCAACTGCGATCAAGTCTGCCCATGACACTGCGAGTACAAGAATTGCCACTTTTACCAACCTGAGTAACAGGTATTCTGAAGAATGTTTGACAAACGACACGCCTGCTTGATGAAGTATAGAAACAGTCTCGACGATCCAAGTACACACCCTCAACATCCGGCTCCAGCGCAGCCTTGACTTTCGACAAAACCTGAAGAAAGCGGCTCATTAAGATTTCCATCAGATAGCATGTGCAATTATCAGCTCCTTCCACAAAATTCCAGATGCTTATTTAGCATTCTAGCAGCAGAAGATTACACATCATACATGTAGGATAAGCAAGTACCTTAATAGATCGGTTGAGGCCTTGATTTTCCGGTCTTTCAAGCTCCAATACAATAGATCCATTCATGCCTCCTGCACGAAGTAATTGGCAAATTGGTTTCACAGCAGTACGTAGCATGGGTACATGACAACAACCATGGCATCTTGGCACGTGTTTCTACCCTTGGTAGCAGCATCCAATCCATGGACTGGAACGGTGATAGCGTTGGTACATGTAAATTTCTACAATGCATCCGAACTTGTACGAAGATTTTAAATACTTCTTACCTTGCTTGGTGGCAAGATTGAAGGGACCAGCGTCGTGGAAGACCAGTCTCAAAACTCCAGCTGCCTTGGCTTTAGTGACAAATTTCCGCACAGCAGCCCTGATTTGCTCCAGTCGCACTGCCTCTTCCCTGGAGTAAGCAGAACATGTCACAGTAAGTACATGGTTCCAACTCAGAAATTTCTGAAGACAGCAAGTACTGCAAACTCGCAATATATAAGATCCTCTGCAATTCAGAGTAAAAAAAGAAAAACCACAGTACGAATGAATACCATACTTCCTGCCAACTTCTTCCTATGTAACGATTTCCTGTACAAGTTGTGATAGCTATGAAAGTGCAACACATCTAACTGTCATTACAGAACAGTCTATCAAGACTACTGACGAAGTTTTAGTGAGTGAAGAGAAGCCGTTGACCACTCTGAACTTAGTTGCCAAGAAAAGTGTACACCATCCAGATAACATAATGCGACATTACGTTTATGTGGTTGCAGATATTTTAACAATGCAACATTACGTTCATGCGGTAGCTACAGAACAATATGAAAATTCCGATATGGCTCCACATCTACCAATGTAGATGAGTTCTCACATAAAACACAATCACAAAAGTTGGCAGTGGCAGCACCATTGTTAGGGGTGTGGACATCTTTCTTCAACATGGACAGCGGTATACCACACACAGATTATATCTAACAAAGAACTGCATCGAATGAAAATGGCAGAATCAGTTGGAAAAGGAAATTACTCCGCTGCAGAGGCTGTGCTTCCTGGATCAGAATTAATGATCGCAGGAAGAAGAGGTAACAGGATAGAAACGACCAGCGACCTCCTCCTCTGAAGCTTGAAAGCGTGGGTATCTGAAAATGGCGTCCCTGTGTTCAGTGGATTTCAGAATTTCCAGCCGGATCTTTACAAATCAGTTCTACACCAAATACCCAGGGAAAAGTTTTCAAAGAACGAGACCCTCCCATCTTGTTATGACGAATTTGCAGGTAGAATACAAAGAAAGCAAATATAACAAAAATTACGAAATGGTCGAACTCAAATTACATGACAGGTTAAGAAAAGACTGAAGAAAAGGATGTGAAGTCACAGGGCAAGACCAATCAAACCATTTTCAGCTGAATCAGTCCCACAAATAGCACAAACTCTCGACGGGCAGCACGATCGCTGCTGCGCTCGGCAATTCAGAGTCACCGGCACAATGCAGCTGGTCCATTTCGGAGACTGGGTTCTGAACACAGCAGAAGAAGCACAGGGCTGCCTGACACCGAGTGCTGCCATCGCCTGGAAAAGAAATCGGCACTCTGAGCCCGAATCAGCTCGAGATGCAGTCCTGGAGATGGCACAGTCCCACTCTCGATCACTTTCGGAAGTCCTGCAAAGATTCATCTTCCGCTTCTCTGGCTCCATATCCAGACCGTTGCCCTTCGTGGACGTTCTGCCACGTGGCACGCACCACCTGGCCATAACGAAAGCAAAGCCCCGGGGACATCCACTCCTGCTTGAAGAAGCCTGCAAATGCTCCCCAAAGGATCCATGACGAAACCAAATGGCTGAGATGGAGCTAGTCTCCAATGGCTTCGCAATCGGATATGGAAAATACTTATGGTCCTGCAGCTAACAGAAATGAACTACATAGGTCAAATGCATGAAAATCCAATAATCCTCACCGAATTGCTCTCTTATGGATTGCATCAATCGTTGTTATCTGTATTTGAATGGATACATATTTTTTAGAATAAGTAATATGACAACCTCATGAGAATGATTTTGAATTATATAATGTGCTCCCTTCATTCTCTCACAAAGTATATGGTCATTGTTCAATATAACTTAAGAGCTGGAAAAGGATGAGGTGGTATCGGATACCTCAGCCATCATGGATTTGTTGGATTTAGTCACTAGATTTCCCAAAATTCTGTCACGGGCAATATGTGTAGGCATGATAGTTTCAAAGGCGACATGGTATTCCCAAACGAGACATAACCATGGCAGAATCCCCGGTTGAGAGCAGAGCTTACCGCTGTTTTCAGAATGTGATGTATCCAACTTTAAGTGCAATAGCAAATGAATAATCTCATGGACAATTCAATACACAGAACTCATATAAAGACATGTTGCATCATCCAAAAATATTCTATGATAATCATTGATTTGGTAAAATGTTTGATTGGCGAGACCAAGGTATAGATTGAATCGGTACACTAGTATCAATCGAAGTGTAAGTTGAGCTAGAAGATCAAAGTGCACCAATGAAATGTTAGCATGGCTTTCTTATAGAGTTGTGACTACTTACCTTGATAAAATCTGATGACCAAATTTTATTTGATAATTATTTTGCCACTAAGTTTAAATGAGGAGGTTGAGGAGCACCTCCAAAGTAAATATCAAGTGTTAATTTACATTGACGAATAATTTGTTGATCAAGTAAGTATCTTAATCTTTTGAGAATATTCTAAGTACATGTCCAATTTGTTAAACCTTGGTTTCCGTTATAGTTTCTTACTAGGGCTTGGTAGAATATTCCCATACTTTACTGTTATTTACTTGGGCTATTTTCTACCCTGGTCAGGAGATATCTATCTACAAATCAACGAAGTTGACATTTTCTTCATATATTGAAATCCAAGTTGGATTCATCCAAAAGCATACCTTAATTATCTAATGGTATACCAGTTGAATGATATTGATTCAGGCTTTCTGTTATTTGCCGAATTTTTGAGCTTGATACGTACATTTCAGATTTCATAATAAATATTTTATATTGGGATAGATAGTATTGATATCTTATAATTTTTAATTATAGGAAAATTTCACTTTTTTAATTTTTACAACTTAAATCATTTAATACATATTTCTCATTGTGATAGATACGTATTGAAAACATAATTATATGTTTAGTTTGATACTTGTGAGACTTGGTGGTGACTTTCTACATTTTTGCTATTCACTTGGCGTTCATTCTTAGATTTAAGTAATATTGATCATAATATGAACTATATATTATATAAGAATCATATTCTCTATATTATATAAAAAATTAGGAATAGCTAATTATCCTTCACTTTGGATTAATTATACTTCAACCTGATTGGTTTGATTTATCCCTATGTTTACTAGAGATAGAAATAGGAATAAAATTTCTACCCGATAGAAATAGTTCACGTTAGACTAGGTGAAGGATAATTGGCTGCTGTCAAAAACTTCTCAACATCATTGACATGCACTTGCTCATGACAGTCGAATTTACCTACAAATGTCGACTAGTTTGAAAGGACCCTGGATGGGTGTGGCACGTGATACGGATGATGACGCGAGATAATCGGAGGGTCCGAGGAGTTGATAGACATTCAATTCGGTGAAACAGGCACCACTTCGATTCGGAAGTCTCAGAGAACCATCCTCACCATTGATAACCTTCTCGAAGTCTCGTCCTTGAGATTCATACGTCACTGACAACACAGAGAGCCAAAAACTGCACGCAGCAGCAGTTCTCGAAGTCTTCAGCACATGCACACGAATATGGTTCCGAAAGTCAGATGGAGCTCGTGCTTGTTCTCCATGTTTGTCTCAGGTTCTAGTTCCAACTAGGAGACTATTGACAGCACTCGAACTCCCTTGACAGCAGCTGCTAAAGGAAGGAATCGATACGAGTATGATGACAAATCCAAAGCTACAATTTCGTTTTACCAAGACTCCATCTTGAGTATGTTAGTACAGGGCATCCATGGACCTCTTAGCACAGGCTTTCATTGCCCCTGCCTGATCCGATCAAAGCGACTTGTTCGAATCCCAGTATGCCTTTCGTTCATCATGTCGATCTGCGCAGGGCCAGGAGAAAATACTTACTGCAAATAACGCCCTCGATCACAAGCAATCAAGCGCTGGAAAGTAGTTATTTATCTGCAGCACACCAGTTACTTCAGATGCTGAACTGAATGGAAAGGTCCTCCTCCTTAGTAAAGCATCTAAGCGTATTCTGAAATCTTGTGAGCTAAACTGGTTCTTCAAAGGTGTGGGATCTCGTGAGACAACAATCGTTGAAATCAAATGTTGAACGTGAATCAATATCGGCTCTACAAACCGGTAACAGCAAAGCTGGTTCCATGAAAGTTCTAATTTCCGGATTATGAAGTATGCGACGGAGTGGGATGTAATTTGCTTTTCAACTCGAGGCAGACGTTTCCTGTTGGTTTTTGATGCTGCTCAGTTCTGAGCAGCATAATCAATCACCGCTTGTGAATGTAGTCCCGTGACATCAGACTGTTGAAATTGATGTATGATGCCATATGTGCCTGGCACGTTCATCTCTTGGATCCTCCTTGCCTTGTCTCTAGCAAATCGATGATCTGGTCGCTAGATCAGGTCACCAGGTATGATATTTTGACTTGAACTGCAAGGGACATGATCACTTTCCGGAATCGACAAGTGAACTGCCATCCTCATACTACACAGGGTGGTAAAGAATTGGAAGTTGTCAGTTAATCTGGAGAGAGTTAATTTTTTCGGAGATATTTATTCAGACACCAACCGGAAAGAAACTCGTGCGAATTTTAAATCTGCACTCGAGCTTCAACACCAGCCTCCTCACCTAAAGATATGCTATATAAACTGGTCTGAAACACATTTCAGGCACAAAAGCATCTCTCACTCATCTCCACACACATACACTCTATCTCTGTATTTCACTCACTTATCTGATTCCGCTCTCATCTGTAGTTCCAATCCAGATCTCAGCTCTATCTCTACTCTACCACCAGCATGTCTTCAATGCAGAGCGCCAAGGACGCCACCAAGGACACCACCGAGCAGACCAAGAACTACGGAGTTGTGAAGGCCGGCCATGGTCAGGAAGGACACACGACCAAGGATAAGGCCTCAGAAGGCAAGCACAACACTGTCTCAGCTCTGAACCAGGTATTGTCTGATCGTATACTACCACCCATATTTTTCTTGAGCGATTTATTCCTCAGACTCTTGTTCCCAAGAGGATTGATCATGTGTTCATGGATGCTGCTGCTGCAGGCCGGTGGGAAGGCGGATGTCGGTGCAAAGGAAACGGCCACTGGCAAGAACTAGCAAGCTCTTAGACTTCAGTACAGAAGTCTAATGGTGAATACTTGAATAAGCTGGCTCAGGATCGTGTTCTGTCAGAGATGAGAGATGCCCACGGACGTCCTCCTTGTACAGGGCCTCAATTCCGTGGCCATGGTGGAGTCATTTCAGAAGCTTTATATGTATATTTCATGAAAGGCAAGCACTCTTCTCTGAGTAAGAGTCCCGTTATCCTTTCCTGGGGGAAGATTGTACTCTTTTACTGTATAGATGATAATCAATAAAAGATTCACCGGCTTCATACAAGGCAGATCTCATGGATGGTTGGCATTTATTATTTCGTTAGTGCATAAAACATATGTTTTCAGATTAAAGAGTGTGAACTGCTCCAAACCGAATACACATATCATCATCTTCACACTCTGGGAAATTGGCGTTTCTAGGCTGAAAACAGAGCTACTGCAAGATTTCAGCAATATTACTGTTGGCACGTTTGGTCGTAGCTTCTCCGAGCGTGGATTTGCCTCACTTGTCGTGAATCATGGAAGTAGTGTGGATGCATGGAGTGTGCACGTCTACAGAGAACACATAAATGCAATGGGGTAGGATCAGAAAGGAACTTTGCTTTAAATTTTAAATATGGAGCGATGACCGCAAAGACTGCTCACTGAAGACCAAATCCATGAGTAGTTCTCAAACGTTTCAAACACCATATGCAGCACGTAAATAAAGATGAAATGTCAGATAATATCAACGTAATGATATGTCGATTCCATCCTAGCAAATCACTATCAGGAAATTGACAGAACTTCCTTCAAAGGTTCATCGTGACAAAATGTGGTTCTCAGTTTCCAAATATTTAATGATCATATATAATTATATATGGTTCTATATTTATATACCTACGAGAAGCCAGCACGTATTATTCTCTCCTGAGACTTGTCCCTGTGAATTTTAAATCTCGTATAGTCTCTCGCGATGGTTGCATCGCGTCAAAACTGACTCTCTACCGCTTGGAAAAAATCCTTTAATTGCAAGAAACATTAAAAAGTATTAAAACGTTAACTGCTCGCATCGTATACAGGTGCTATGAACCGTCAACCAACGCTATAGATTCTACAGAGATCTCGTTACATCTCACGGAGATTTCGATCCTTTTTCCCTAGTGAAGCCAGACATGACTCCGGAGCCAGGTAGAAGAGACGATTAAACTTGTGTCGATTTTCGAATATAAGAGTACGTGTCGAGACACGTGGCAGGGTCAACGGTAGTCGTTCGGATCGACGCGTCGGAAAGTGTTCAGATAAAATATCGTCGAGGAAGAGGAATGTCTGAACAGCATCTAAATGGACCGGGGTCTTTTGATAGGATCATCGTCTGCAAGCATTTGATTCAACACTTTCTTACTGCATGAATCTCTACGAGGTCGTAGAAAGGAGCCACACCCGGCCAATTGATCCTCTTCTCCCTCCACGAGAAGCAATGAATCGCACAGTCAAGCTTTCCAAGTCGTGGATACAAACCGCTCTGACACGACCTCCTTACTTACTGTTCAATGGCTGCAGATCGATATCTGCGTCACTGGACTTTCAGTTTCGATGGAATAGGAAATTGCCAGATGTAGATGGATAACTCGAACTCAAGCACAGGATCATTGACTTCCTCTCGCAAATTCACGGCCCAGGTCCAGTCATCACGCATATCATCGATCACATGAAATATATTGTCTCACTGCACACTCGTCGCCACTCCATAGCTCAGGATTGAGCAACTGCAGGGTCAGAGCCTCCAAAGTTCCAGTGGCCCATACAGGAGGCCACAGGCGTCGTGGTTTGATGAGTTTTTCCTTCTGAAGCATCATATCTGCTGTGACTGTGGACTTGCATGTGAGAGCTTGCATAGATTGATCATTGACGTAGTTTGTACTGAGTCTGGAGCGTTTGCTAGACCTGGATTCCAGTACTTAAGCTGCGCAACTCCGAAGGATTATCAAATCATACTGCCCATACACCTCTCATCTCCTATCAATCTAAGACTTGAAACCTAGCTCCATCTATCTCTTCTTCTTCATCTTCTATCAGCAGTTCAACATGTCTTCAGATCAAATGCAGGGCACCAAGGACACCGTTGCTCAGAAGGCCGAGCAGACGAAGAACTTCGGCGAAGAGAAAGCAGGCCAGGCAAAGGATGGCACTCAGGCCATGGCCCAGGGCACCAAGGACAAGACCAACGAGGCCGGAAAGACCACCAAGGAGAAAACCATCGATGGCAAAAACAGCTCAGGAGGAGTGATGCAGCAGGTAACTTCAGATGATCGCTAAGTCTTGTGAATCCTTTTCATTGTAGTGAACCTTGCATCTCAACGTTGAGACAGTTTGTTGCAGTTCGATCACCTGTCACTTCGATTTCAATGATCTCATGAAGAAGAGCCGGCGATAGGAATGAATGGATTGTTTCTCATTCTTGAGTTTATGGTGTTGATGGCTGCAGGCTGGAGACAAGGCCAAAGAAACCTTCGCCAATGCCAAGGAGGCCATGACTGGAGGAAAGAAGTGATTAGTGAAGACTCAGTTTCTCAGAGCTCCCTCATGCATGCATGACACTAACTGTACAGACATAGTTCACACTGTCTAGAGTCCACGTATCAGAAGACCCCAAACTTCAAACCTGCAGTAGGCAGGGTCGCTTGTGCCTCAAGCTACACTTGTGCACACAATGACAGATTCGGGTCTTCTGGTGACCCTTGTATAAACAAAAATTTCTTGAAATTAACGCAAGTCGTGGTGAACGACCACTTGCAAGCAGATGAAGCATGATCCGAGTCACTTGTTTCTTGTACTGTGTGTGATGATCATTTGAAATGATATATGAGCTCCTCCTCCATCTGTATGCAAGAATCTGCGAGAATGGGTTGAATCTGATGACATTGAGCATATTTTCAAACGTGCAGCGGCTATGCTGTTTACAACATTCGGTATGCAGACATATCTGATACGCATTTTCATCGATACATTAGATCTTCAGAATGAATTTTTTCAGAACACAAGCTCTCTATCTCTCTTGCACTATGGAGTTCAAGCTGTCTTCACATAGCTCAGTGAGCCCAACTGGAACTGGCCAGGGCAGTCGCAGATTTGGCAGTAACGTGACTCCATAAGTGTGAGGAGAACTAGGAATCATGGAAATGACAATGAGCATGGTAAACTTTGCACATCTGCTCTACGAGCAATAGTGAAGGCTTCATTGCTGAGTGGATCGGTCAGCTATACGTCTTAGATCTTTTCTTTCCCAAAAAGTGAACAATATGAGGTTGGCCTTTTATTGCTCTTAATCGCTCATTCATCCGCAGATCCGAATTAGCCACGATGTTATCGCAACTCACTTATAAATTAGTCGATTACCATTACCCATCACTCAGATATACTCATACATTTCCCCCGTTACCTCTCCGGCCCTTTTTCTTTTCTTTACTGTATGTTAGTCAGAACTTAGTCTATACATTGTACAGTAATACACTAAACTTTATCTAACGAATTTGATATCTTTGACGTTGAGAAGAAAATTGCTCATGCATAATCTGAGTGACAAGGTTTCGTGCTTTAAGGGTCGACCATATTTCCAAACATGACTTATCTACTTCCGCAGACATTCAGGACCTCCTCTTTGAAATAAGGATATTCTGTTGACTGTAAAAGCTAGTTTTGAAGTCAATATTATAAGTGCAGATACCTCATTCGGGACTTCATGCGAAAACAAATGTTTAAGCCAAGTATAGTACAATTGGATCGAAGTTTCTTGTTGGCAATATATATATCACCTGGTAGGGAGTTTAAAACCTCAGCTGTATTTTCCCGTCTTTAGTGTATAGTTTTTTTTGCAAGCACTGTGCACAAATATCAATGCGTTTCATGAATCACTAGGATACTTCACCTGCTCTACTTGGCGAGGTGATTGAACTCCTGGTTGTTTTAGTAAACTCCTATAATCCCACTCATACAATAAGCGCACATGTTTGTTGTGACGCATTATCGAAAGTGAGGTAAAAGATCCACCCTAGTCCCAGTTGATGGTCAAAAAATAATAGTTGACACTAGTATTAATCTCATTTTATCAGACAATATCGTGCTAATTTCTGATGAAGTTATATCTAATATCGCTTGTGAAGTTACTATGAACGCAATCACATGTGCTTGATTGATTGTGTCATATCATTGATATTACCCAATCAGCTTTTGCGTTAATGCAAAGCAAATGTCATAAAGTTGCATCAGCAACTGACTTCAGGATTTTAAAGAATCCTGTCATGTATATTCAGTTTGATTCAGAAGCTTAGTCACTTAATGATTGCTAAGCAGAGCCAATAAAAGAAATAAAAAAGTGATTTGAAAGTGATTTGAAAGTGAGAGAATCTATGATGTTAACAATAAATATTGTTGTTAGTGCTTCTCAAATTTTCCAGAATAAGAAGGGATATTTGAGATAAAAGCTTGTTCTTACCGAGATAATAGATGTGAACAACGTCATAAGGTGTATTCATATAACAAGAGACGGCACGTAAATTATAATACATTTCCTCACCATTCTATTGACAAAATTTAACCCAGATGAACATGTTGTAATGTGAACCCGGAAGTACTCTTATGCAGTACTCTTATTCAATAAACGACAAGTCTGACAGAAGACGTTGCCGACAAGAAGACTATGAAGTGGAAAACTTCTACTGGCAAGGAGAGAGTAATTGACTGCCTGTATAGGCGAATCTGCCTGTGAGGCATCTGATTCCACTTTCCTGTATCATGAACGACTGACTCGATGGCTCCAAGAAGTTCATTACATCCAAACAGAATTTGCTTCCAGTCGCTTTTTCATCACCTCAGACTAATTGAAGGTACTAGAATTTTGGAAGTGAGCGGAAGCTGAAATTGAACTTGCGCAAAAGCGTTGCCACCACTCGACGTCCAATTTCCACCACGTCCACCGAGCGACGACGATGACGATGCATGCAGCTGACGCTTGCTAAGCAGCAAGGAGATGGCTCTTCTGATACCTCTTTCGATTTTCAGACGGTGAATGAGTTCAGATTTATGGTCATGAAAAGACTTCAGCTCTATGGTCGAAGCACGTCCCGTTTGAGTTTCACGGCCAAACTCCAACTCTCCAGCACTCAAAATCTCGAATTGGAATGAACTTGAACATTTCCCGTTGAGAATCTTGACATTTCAACAGCACCACCACTACCGAAACACATTGAGCGAAGATAGATCGACAGAGCGAAAATAGACAAGCTATGAATTATGCAATCCAGTGAGACGGTCGACCTGACTTTGTTCTCCTCTTGTAAAAGGTCTTCGATGTGAAATTTGCACGACGTACATCAGTCCAATCTTGCTGAAACCTTGATACTTTGCAATCAAATGTTTCAAGAGTCAGAAAGAAGTAGAAACCATTGCTCCGACGGCATTTTGAAACATAATGGGAATCAAGACCTAGTTAGGTTCAACGAGGTCATAAATCAAATTTTATGCAGATAATCATCAGGTTCAATAATTATCCTTTTCAATATCCCTCGGATATTTTGTGTTGCTGTAGTCGTAATTGAGTTGAACAATAATAAAAAGGATTGACCATGTTTCACACGCACGCTGAAGGGCTCGTTCTTATCGCAGCTTTCTTCTTGGAGGTCGAAGCGACTTACTTATCCACCGGTTGGCAGTCTCAACAGCCGCGACGCATTATTTACATGCAAGTTTATGATATGCAATCCAATTCAAGACTAGAATTACACATCGTCCGGTATCTCCCTCGACACAACTCGGATATCTCATGATGTCAAGTCCGCCATCGATTTTGAAAATAGGAGGTTCTTTCAATTCATACAGCGAGTGGAAAAAGTATCATTATGTATGAAGAAGATGAATACTTAAGCAAGAGTTTTAAAATTCAAAGGATTTGTACAGGGATATTGTTGTCATACTGATAGTCTAGTGACTCAAGAATTTAGTTTCAGTGTTGAGAAAAAATGTAAACAACTCTCAGCAATAGATAATTCATTTATCATTTATTTGCAGTGCTGGTTTAGAATTTACGGACGAATCTCAACAGAAATTATTCAAGAGCCACTCTGGTAACATTCATCGTTTCAGATTTACAAATGATGAGGTGATTTCTGTCATGGCAACCTACGTCCCAACCGAACTCAAATTGTATCTTCTGCATCACTGCAGGATATAAGAGGCATGCACCATATAAATCTTCCGCGCTTCCAGGAAGCCTGGAGGACATCACAAGGGTCTTGAAGAAGGAGAAGAAGATCTTGGACAAGAAGATAGCGACTGTGGTCCAGAGAGCAATCGAAATCTGTCTGTCGATCGAGGAACACTCTTTCGAGAGTACATATCGATCCGAGGTGACTGGCGGACGAAAAGCTTCTGAAATTGGAATACAATCAATGAACCATGGCCGAAAACCTCCCTCCTGTTACGGGAGGGAGTGATTTCCTGCATAGAATCCATTCTGCAATATTTTCTGGCACCTGGATCCGGACTCGCATTCATAAAGCTTCAGTCTTTGACTCTTGGAGCAACATAGTTCACACTTGATCACACAAGCGATTGGCTGTCCAAAGACTGTAACGTGGGTACACTTGATTCCATGTCGAAATAGACACCGATTAACTTTCCCTTGAATGGATGAACATCATCTGTCATGCATGTTCTCCACGTGATCGGATCGTGGTGTGTGCACAGAGGTGGGAGACAACACAAATCGTTATCAAATCGAGAATGGGCATCGTACACTTCCCTCAGGCTGTCTAGCAGCGATCTACTTCGTCACTAAACGCTTAACGTTGTTAGTTCAATGCTCGCCTCTGATGATGGGACGTAGGTTGCTAAATACATTATCATTGTGTAGGGTAGGAATGGAAGCGATTTATATGGCTCCAGATTTGGCTCTTTGACCTTGCCCCTGATTCCTCGCCATGGTTCCCAGCTGGTGTCTTCCCTGGACTTTGTCACATTCAAAGTAGATCATTTCAATCGATTTATACAAACGAAAAATACTGAAGATCCTGTATCAGCGATTAGTTAATATCTACGAAATATCCAGCGTGCTTGCTTTTGATTAAAAGAGATTTTATGTTATGATTCATAATTCATCATATCTGAATGACGAGGTAGCAATCTCAGTTCGAATTAGAGCCATTGGGGACTGATTCTGATTCTGATTCCAATTGAGGGTATTGTGTACAGGCTCTTTGAACAATTAAAATTTTTCCAAGCGAGTCAATCTCCTCTGGTCTTTGTTCCATGTGTTCATGTGACCTCCAGTGAACCTTGTAGTAGACTCACACACCCTTTACAAAGATCGAGACAGATGCATGTCTATGGAGGAAGGTAAACTTTACGATGGGCAAAATACTTCGAATAGCAAGAGTGTAGATCTGATCTCATGTCAGTACGTGGTTTATTTTCATATCAACTGCAGTGAGAATAATTCAACTCTACGTATCTCATGCATACCAGCACTAAACAAACAAGTCTTCAAATCAGAGCACCGACTGTCGAAAACTCGAGCTCCATTCCACTAAACCAAACTGTGCGAAAAATCCTTTTCGAAGGTACATTATTTCATCGCTCGCGTTTTAACGAAGGCGATTCTGGACCAGAATGGAACTGTACGATCTAATGCACTGCTGGTCAATATCCTTCTGTGACACATACCTTAAGACTGGCGAATATGCCAATGATCCCAGGAAGTTGACGAAAGAGACGATAAGTCTCTTTGATGGCGAACGACCTTGCCAAAAGAGCCGGGTCCACGGCCATCAGCGCTCTGAACAGAGTGAGAAGAAGAAGAGATTCCAGGATTGTGAGAACTCAACAAGGTGATGGTGGAAGTATTGCACGACGTGTTACTGAAGCATTGCACGTGGATTTGTCCATCTAGAAATGCACTGACCCTCTTGGGAAGTTGGCATCACTCACGTCGTCCCTGTCGGCCACGATTCCGATTAAGAGCTCTTGAGAAGGAACAAACACAATCTCGGTGGTCAGGATGAGAGAGAGGGGCGCAATGACGCCCTCTGGCAAGTCAAGGCTAACGGATCAGACTTGCAGAAGCACCGAAGGAACCATCACCTCGAATCTTCGGCTTTCGCCGTGCTGGGGTCTTAGCGGGTCTAGCCATTGAGATACACTCCATATCCATGTAATTGGGAAAGATCTGTATCACAGATATCTTGAAGCTGACCTGGATCAGCTGCTCGAGCTGCAGTTGCTACCAAAGGCCATCAGCGATCGCAGCTTACAGGAAGTGGGTGTATTGGGAGTGTTATGAGTATATTTAAAGAACTGTTGCTGTGAGATTATCTGTAGGAAAAGAAAATCATTTCCAGCAAAATTCAGCAGACAAACCTAGGAGTTGAAATTTGTGAGATTGTTCAGTCACGTATACCGCTAGCGTTATAGAGAGAACTGTTAGAAGTCGACCTTAGTATGGGAGGATTGGTTTCTGAGTCAACGCATCTGAATCATCTTTGCATTTTTAGTTTATTTTAAAATTGGACATTGATCTATTTCTTCCGTTTCAAAGTTTGTGAAGATATCTTAAAATTCAAATTTTTTCCATATTTCCATTTTTTAGTTAAAATTAAAACTATCACTTCAATATATGCATGACGATTAAAATAAAACTTTTGCAATATTTTCTAAACTTACTCTGGGTTTGTCTCAAAATGCCAATACTTGAGAACATTAAATTTGCAAAAGTGTGACTATAATTATGCTGTAGATACAAGTTGTTGCGGGACACTGTACTGAATAAAGTTTCAGCGTCCTGCCAAACGTACACGGTAGAATACAATGATATTACAATATATTCCTATACACCGTCCATGTTTTAGGGGATATTAGGTGTAATATCCCCTAAAACATCGATCGGGTATCAATTTCTGCCTGGACCTGACTGAATGTGCCTAAACTGTACAATGTGAAAAGTATATGCATGTCGAGTAGAATAAAATCCTTCTGATTGTCTACTCTAGTGAGCTTCCCACGGTGATCCAACCAATAGCCTATCACGCCATCTCGCCCAATACTGGCTGGAGAGATCACGACCAACCAGTCGATTTCCGTGTGGTATCTATTTGTTCCTAGTTACAGCAAACTTAGCATTGTTCAAATTTTCCTCCTCCATCTCTGCAGTCTGCAGAGAGCACAAAATGAATCAACGACAAGTGAACATGATTGACAGTGATGGTGAGCTTTGAGACTCGATTCGAATCGTGTTCGGACATTTGAAATCACGAACGTGTTTTCTCGAGATCCAGCACGTATCAGCTTCTGAGGTGGACTGACTGTACTGCACCAGGAAACACCGCCATGTATATGATTAGACGAGACGAATCTCAGACCTGAAAAACCAAACAATTAATCTTCACCGGAATGACAAGAAGCCTGGAACATCGCAATGGTATGAACCTGCTGCAAGGCGTCGTCGGCAGCGTTGCTCTTGCTCTTGCACCCTGTGGCCTTATCGTCGGCAGTCTGCGCGGCGGCGGACGTCGCCAGTCCTAGTCCTCGAGCATTCTGAGCATTCTCCTGCGCCTGCTCAGTCTTCTCGGCGCCAAATCTCCGCGTCTGGTCGCTGGCATCGTGCATCTGTTCCGAGGACATGGTTGTGACCGCCAGCACGGATAGTGCATTTGCCGGAAGCATCGTGTGAGCTTGCTATCAAGAAGACGGAGGAGAGGAATCAGGTGACAGATTCTGTGGCGCGCAGATTTTTGATCGTCCGAGACTCTGACCGCAAGCTTTAACCTCTGCCGAAGCTCGATCGCGGATCGCGATCGAGCTATTATAATTCATGACGCAATATACAGCGCAAGCGAGAGCACGTTCAGGACGGGCTACTTCGTGAAGGTGACTTGCCTTCGTCGGCATCTGATTCATGTCGCCACGTGCACTCGTCAATTTCTGGATTTGAGTCTAGGTTAGATGTAATAGTCCCTCTTTGAGTTAAGACCTTCTTGACGCGTGTCGGAAATGTGTGGCGCGATCCACTTCCGGCTTATTCAAAGTCTGTGACAGGTGTTCAGTATCCTGACTCTGGTTAGATTGACAGTCAAGATAACAAAATGTATCAGATTCTGAAACCCTGCTTTGGAAGTTGAAAGGTCAAATCTATGTGAAGCTTGAGAGCAAGACAACGCGATTCCAGGCTGTCTTTGGCAACCGATGAATGCATTTGCCACAAGTATTGTACATTATTCCACTTCGTTGGATTTGTGCACGATGAAAATTTTCCTTTTGGTGTAATGAATAGTTTCTTCCTTTCGATGTGGTATTTTCAGTTCTATATTCTGTTATTTTTGCTGCGTCCTTTCCATTCATTATTATTGAGTATTGTGCTGATTTAAAATATTATATACTCTTATTGTTACTTTGGTAGAATGGTATTTGTTGATTATCATAAGGTAATTTTCATTTTTTAAGATTATTATTGTTCATCATGTTGAGTGAATTGTCTTATTGAAGAATTTTACTGATCAGTTTAAAATTTTTAACAGTGTTCTATTGTTTGTTTTTCTTCAAATTGTTAGTATTCTTACTTCTAATAGTGTCTATCCAGCGTTAATTGATTTGTACAATATTTGCTTACTGTATTTAGCCTAGCGCAGTTGACAGTGTGGAATTAGTAGTATACCTCGATATTTCCTGCAATGTAAGTTATATGTCTTTATATTACATGTGCTACGAGTTTGAATGTTCAAATTATCTCAGCTAAGATTTTCAGGGAATCTTTCAAAACGACGTTATTTTGTAATAACCGCACATTGGCAATAATTCATCAGATAATCTATTAAGAAAAAACCACGATACACCAATCCACATATAAGCGGACGAATGAAATGAAAAGTTGATGAATGAGGCGTCGATAATAATTAATAGTAATGCTTTACAAAGCTCACATTCAAGCGAACTGAACGTGAACTCCTGTTTGGCCACACATAGACTACGCTGCCGCGCAGAGATATTTCCTCATGCGGCGGCAACAGCAACTTGAGCCAATGGGGGAATTAACAACGCCCTTCCTGATCTCCTAACAAACACACTGTACATGAAGAATTACGCTGAACATTGTAGTCATCGTGGGAGCTTAAATTCTACCCCCTAACTATTGATGTATGTGATCTACTTGTTGTTGCCCAAGACGGCGTCCTTGGCATTGGTGAGAGTTTCCATCACCTTGTCTCCGGTCTGTTCAACGAAAATACAACCCGGCAGCAATGAGCGTCGTGCAGTTAAATCAGAGAAAATCACACGCGCACCAGTCTAAAAAAAATCGGGGGCACTTCCAACAATGAAAACAGAACAAGACGAGAACAAGAAAACATGCCAACAAACAAAGTGCAGCACAAATTCTATCACCTGTTGAAGAACGCTGCCGGTCTTGTCTTTGCCTTCGACGGCCTTGTCCTTGGCAGTCTGAGCTGCGTCCGACGTTGCCTGGCTGGCTTGATTGGCCTTCTCGGATGCGAAGTTGCCAGCCTCGTTGGCCTTGTCCTTGGCCGCTTGACCCATTCCCTGAGCCTTGTCCTGCGCCTGCCCGGCCTTTTGAGCGCCAACGTTCTTAGTGTGCTCAGCGGTCTGAGCAGCAGAGTCCTTGGCCTTCTGGGCGTCGTACGAAGACATGATTGCGAAGACGGGTAAAGTGAGGAATGTGTAGGTAGCCTTGGCGAATAAGAACGAAGTGAAGTTTGCAACTCCTGATGGAAATGTGTAATAGTGAGCGATATGGGAGATTGTGCGTTTCATGCATCTTTATACGATGCAGGAACCATGCAAGTCCGGGACAGGTACAGTAGGAAGAACGGTCGTTCACACACGTCAATCATTCTTTGGAGGAAGTTTCGAGTACAACGTTCTCGCAAAGTTCCCTTCGTCTCAGCGGGGAACATTCGTGTCGAACGCAACGCCCATTTCGTCACCTTATCCCCGTGCTGGCCATGCAAGAAGCGACAGGTGTCCAATATGATTCATATGTTTTTTGGACTGTAAAATATTCGACTTATTGAGGAGCAAGATCATCTTATATACCTTTATGTGGGCCTCTACATGGGAAAATTACTTAAAGTTCGAGCACAGTTGTCCAGGTGAAATTATTGTTGCTATTGATTATTAGCTCTAGATGTCAGAATTCAGGAAGAGACAACTCAGTGACCAATTTCTCTCCCTAAAATATCCATGACAATTCTAGCCTGCAAGAACCGAGTTGAAAAAGTTGGTCGATAAAGTCTGCAAGCATGTAGACATGGCCTTACATCATACATGCTTACATTGTGCCTATACATGACATTGAAGTTCAGTATACACTGGCCCGACTTGAAGAGTCTAATTTTCTTGACGTCTACGACTCTTACCATAACTTCTACATGTAATCCTTAATGGTGTTTGTAGACTGCATGCTATCACGTACATGAGATAATATCAAATACTAATCGTATGGTTTGTGGTTTTTCTTCCCATCCAGCTCCTTAAGAACTTGCCCCCCTTTCGATTTGTGAATAATCTTGGACATACTTAGCTCTTTAGTATGTATATATATATATATATATATATATATATATATACACACACATTGCTATAAAACAATTGTAGGTATAATTTGGTAAGACCAATCAATTGTAGGTATTGAAGGTATAATCGAGTATAATTTGGGAACACCAATAAGAATATACGAGTAAAATATTAGATGCTCTAGTTAATCTCTGCCAAAAGTTAGATACAGTATTCTGCCAGAATCAGAGACGCATGGAATGTAGAATCTCTATACAAAAGATTCGGGATTCATTATACACGTGTCTACATCCAGATGACAGCATCCGGGGAGGGTGCCTAAAAGGGCGCTACATTCGCCACGAATTTAGTACCGTCTGTCCCCGTTTCGAAGACATCGCTGAACCAACACGTGTTAACAACCTACACGTCGGTCTTCTCACGTTGTTGACGTTGCATGGGTGAGCGCTTATAAACCCGCCATGAGAAGAACAGCTCACAACGAGCTTCTCAACTGCAGAAGGTCATTAGAATCTGGCAGCATTCTCTACCACCGCTCCTACCATCACCAGTCTAATTTCTACGCTCTTTCAGAATCATGTCGTCGTACCAGGCTCAGAACGCAAAGGACTCGGCTGCTCAGACCGCCGAGCACACCAAGAACGTTGGCGCGGAGAAGGCCGGGCAGGCCCAGGATCACGCTGAGGGAATGGGTCAAGCTGCCAAGGACAAGGCCAACGAGGCGAGCAACTTCGCGTCTGAGAAGGCCAACCAAGCAGGCCAGGCCACGTCGGACACAGCCCAGGCTGCCAAGGACAAGGCCGTCGAAGGCAAGGACAAGACCGGCAACGTTCTCCAACAGGTGACAGATTTCGTGGTTCATTTGACTGTCATGCGTTGCCTGTTCTCTCTTCACCATCGAAATGCCACCGAGTTCATAAACTGGTGTGCTTGTCATTCATATTGAAAATTGCTCGATTGTTCATTGCTGCCTGGTTGCATTTTGTTTGTACAGACCGGAGACAAGGTGATGGAAACTCTCACCAATGCGAAGGACGCCGTCATGGGGAACAACAAGTAGATCATAGGCATCAATAGCGAGGGGGTAGAATATAAGCTCCCTATAAGACTTAATAGTTCATCATAATTTTCTTGTACAGAATTTTTGTTAGGAGATCAAGAAGGGAGCGCGTTGCAGAAGCTCTTAGATTCTGTAGCCGCCGCTCGAGGAGGTGTCTCTATGCGGGCTATGATAATATGCGTGCAATGAAACTGAAGTTCACATTCAGAGAGAGTTCTTAGTTGTGAAATTTGTAAACCATTACAATTAATGATTTTACTGCTCATCAATCAACGGCTCTTCCACTGCCTTTCAATATATGTTCCTGAAACTCCCTTACACGAAAATCTGTCACAATGTTAATGAAAAGTACATGTCTAAGTTTCAAGATACTGCTATACTAAATCAATAAGCATCGTGAATAACAACACTATTTCATGTAAAAGATGGGAAAAAGAACACCTCTCCATCAATATGTACAATTATCACAAAATTGCAGAAAATGTAAATAATCATCATCTATAACTTCTATCTCAAACATCTAGCAAATCATAACATACTGTTAAAAATTTAAATATAAATAATGCAAACAAAATCTTAAACAGGTTTAAAACTTCCCACTTCTCATGTCGAGCAAACACTACTAATGTTAGTCTGCACCAAAGAAGTTTAAAAATTCCAAAACTTAATCATTTTGACAACAATTGACAATGAAATGATACATAATTCAACACTCTGAACATATTTGATATTGTACAAAAATGCAAATTTAAATCATAAATATACTCCTTTAAAATAAATATATAACTAACTACTTTCAGTCACTTTCAGTCGAAAATGGATGAAAAAAACTGGAAAACATATGCCCCTACTCGAGAGAAAAATATTGAGTATGTAATTTTGAAATAAAGATGGGTTTACATACAAACAATACCGGACATATCCTAAAGGTTTTGTAGAAGGAGGGTGCAGATCCTAAATTGGTTCCGGAAGGAACGTATTTTTCACTTTTGTCGTTTGGATTACAAGATGCAAACTTTTATCTGCACATGATTTTTCACATATACTACACCATATTTACCGATCGCCTTGATATCCAGGAATGTGAAATTGTGGTTTCGATCTGTCCTCCACGTACAGATAAGCATGAACAAAAGCAATTATTCTATTTTGATACAACCGACATTTTGAAGGCAAATCGACTGACTTTCAAGAATCGGCTCAGAAATATTGAGGATCTAGTATCATATTTCTATCCACATCGAATTTTGAGTTGATACTTTACTTCATCTTTAAAGCTCTAGAGGGCCAGAAATCTGACAGAATCCCTTCAGAATTTCCTTCAGATTAACTCATGGTGGATAAGTCTGCTTGGTTTCTGACATTGAGCTCCGGCTGTCTACATGTTAAAAACACACATACAGGAAACCTGTCGTGCAAGTGTGATTTATCTGACTCTTTGCTCGCCCCTCAATTCATAAACTATTTTAGTAGATCCTCTTAGGCACCTTCATATCTACAGCGCTATATTGAACAAATCGATAAAGACCTCTCAGTGTTCTCAGGAGCTTTTAGAGCTATGGACCAACATCGAATGCTGGAAGGAAGCTATGTTCGAATTACTTACTGATTCCAGATGATGCTTAAACTGTTTTATATGACAGCTTTGCTTCATAGTAAAGACAAGTTATTCTTCTCGTATGATTTTCCAACTACTGCGAGCAGTGCCACCCTAGGAAAACGAGTATTCATGTATATAATGACGATGCCAGTGCAGGCGGAATATAAAGAGCAGTGTAATCATTTGACTAGATTTGATGATAATGAACTTGCAAATATCATATATCCTGTGATCAGATCACTATAAATACTTTTATCTCATGAGAAATGATATATCTTGACTTCAGTGTTTTCCAAGAAGTTAATAAGTACACAATATGTATTTGATGTACCGGTGGATTTTCCCAGCTTTCTTGAGTATGTCTTTCTGTACATAGATATATCAAATTAATACTTTTGGATATATATGTCAGTACATGAAAGTTATGTCATACTCTCTTATTCAAACATGTACGCAAATTAGCGGATTATTAACCACTGCGTAGAGTCTTGGGATTGATCATTCTACTCACAGAAATCCCTATATGTAGGGAAGTAAAATCACTAGAATGTATCCAAGTGACCAAAGACATCTGCCTTACGCAAAGTGGGACTGCTTTTTGAGGTGACGTTATATCCAATTTGACAAGTTTCGGTCCTTCCGGTTGACTTTCAATCGACTGTCAAGGTTGTTTGGTAGAAAAGTGTTCAGCTAGTTCATGTCATTGTCATGTACGAAAATGAAACTTGCATGAATTAGTTCGGAACTAGAACCAGTAAAGGCAACGCATGCGCGTTATTGGTGACGACGTGTTTGAATTAAAGCCAGTAGGAAACGGTTTTTTGATGCGGCCATGCGTCCATCGTTGATGGTAGCTTCCGAATGCGAATGTTGAAAATATTGCACCATTTGAGCGCGAGTAAGTGTCTCAAGAATGAAGGCAAGCAATGCTCGCAAGAAGAGGGATGACAAGTCTAGAGGAAGTTTCAAGTACGTGGATTACGTTGAGCATGTGGGAACACACCTCATTTTGTTTCCAGGAGATTGCGTTCTGCTTCGAAGCGAAGGTCCAGTAGCGCCTGTAAGTGTAGCGAAGATCAAATACCTTCGATCGGATCTGCAGATGGAGATTTTATGGTTTTACCGACCTGAGGAAACAACTGAGGGGCGCAAAGCTTTCCATGGCAAACAAGAGCTCCTTCTTTCCAACCATTCCGATATTCAGAGTTTGGAAGCAGTCGAGGACGTGTGCAAAGTGTACACCTTGTGTCAATACATGGCACTTGGAAAATGTGAGAAAGATATCAATGACTTCTTCAGTCGATTTGAGTACGATGTTGGAGCCGGGCGAGTTTCACCTGTTTCCCACTCACTGCCCTTGCACTGTGTTTGCAACTCTCCTTACAATCCTGATCTGGAGATGAACTTCTGCCAAGACTGCGGATTGTGGATTCATGTCTGCTGTGAAGACGAGCATCAAGATGGAATCAATCAATGTCGTACGTACAGACAGAAAAGTAATAATAGATGAATGTCAAAAGTATACCTTCTGCACATACATCCAGAATTTCAGTCAGTATCACTCTTTATGTCTATCAGGTTTATTCTGTCATTCTTTCAATCATCATGAATTTTTTGCAGCCCAGCCAATAAAGATATTGTACAATGTGAGGGTAATCTATGTTCCAAACAATGTGTCATCGGAGAAAGGTCTCTTGGTTGCTTCACTGATGCATTGCCTCATCCTTCTGTTCAACTATTGAGAATTTGATACCAATCACACTTGGAATGAGATGTTCTCTGTTGGAAAAAGGTCATGAAACACAGTATGACTCTTGGTCACTTTCTTTTCGGAAATTTCACGTCAAAATGAGGAATTGATACTGTGCTTGAGTTCATCACATTCGAGAACTTAAATCAATAATTCAAAATTTCCGGAATAAGATATTTGTTATTTATTAGCGAGTGCAGTACATCTTAAGCTCTAGACTCGAAGCTGGAAGTTGCCCAAGTTGTTTCACTTAACATCACTTCCATCTGAAGGGCGAGGTTCTTGAACTCGTCCTTGGAGTCATTTGATGTGATGCATGGATCAAATGCTAATCACTCTAACAGATTGCTAAGGAAGCATGTTCGAATCTTCAACGAAAAAATATAGTTAGATGAGGTCAGCATACATAAAGATCGTGAAGATTTTGAAGCGAATATCTCTTCTTCGGGTTCCAGATTATTATCTGCATGAAAGATGGGAGTTATGTTGTGTTCGAGAAAGTTGCAATGGAAATGCGTGTTTCTATAAGACTGTATTCCGATTGGTAGCCAATTTGAGCACAATTCGTTCGATGGATTGTCAAGGCTCTGACCCACGTCGTTCGACAGGTAGATGCAACGAGAACAATTTATGATCCTGGTTCATATTGGTCCGCAAATTTGTATTCTTGTTGTTGAACGGCTGCCAGTTACTCTCAGGTCGATTATTCGAACTGAGAGCATGCAACAGAAGTTTTGAAATTCAACTGGGGTCTCGCAGTTTGATGAAAGTGTTCTAAATATAGAATGCTTGATATTCCTCTTTCATGCGCGAACGTACACTGCCATGCAACTTTCCTTGCTTCATGCCATTTCGGATGCCCTTAATTACATTTCTTCAACAATTCATTATAAATATCGTCATAGAATATTATTCAGCCAAGAATGTTGGTAGTAAGATTGAAAGCTAAATTTTGAAATCTCATCTCTTCCAAATACTTTTATAATTTTATAGCTTGTTCTCCCCAAAATGCGCCTCAACACATTTCGGGTAGAACCAGCTACATCTGGGTTCGAGTGGCATATCAGTCACCCAGGAGTATTTAGCTAACTGCTGTTCACATTATTGGAATAAGATCTGGAAAAGGAGATCATATTATATAATAGCATTATGTTGCTTACGATACATAAAGTATTCAGCTAGGGTAGCTCCAGTAAAAGGAGCAAGATATTATTCAAATATCAACCAAAATTGGTGATGATAAGAATTTGATAAATTTTAACATTAAAAGATATAATATATTTATCCTACTTTAAATTATATAAGAATAAAAAAATGTAGGTAAAACTGAACTAAATAGTCATAATACATTATGAGAACAAAATACTAATGGCTCTTTTATATTCAACAAAATATTATCTATTTATTTATTTACGTTCTTGGACTAATTACAAGTCAAAATATGGAAAGAGAGTTGAAGCGTCTTGAATTAAATTCAAATGCTGTTAATATTAATTGAATATTTTTGTCAAAAAAAATTTAGATAGGTCACAAATTGAAGGAGAAAAAGTTATATACCACGTTCTCCAACACGAACTTCTTCCAGATTTGAGGCAGAGTTAGTAAATCAATCAATTTGGCTTGTATTAGAAGTTTTGATTATAACAGATATAAATAACTGTTCTTTTGATTTATTTTAAATAATAACCTTAATTGACATGACTTTACAAAATATGAAATGAAGCTCCCAAAAAGACATTTATCACATCAATTATTGTATTTTCTTAGAGATTTTAATCTAGGTTTACAGAAAGATTATTTCATATTTAGATTTTGTAAAAAGTAGTTAAATATTATTGAATTCTTTAGTGGTAAATTGAAAGAAACTTGATCGCAAATATGCTAAAAACCCCACAGAAATAGAGCAAAAACCTTAAGTATATGAATAAGAATATAAAGAAAAGAAAACTTTTATCAAATAATCCAATAAAAACTATGTAGAAATAAACATATATAAAATTATTATTTTTTTGAAAAACGAGTGAATAATAATCTGAGTACTGAAAAGAAAAATTTACAAATATAATTATATGTATCTATATTCAAACTTTTAATTGAAAGAAATCTGTAAATATATGAGCCGGATTATGGAAAACTTTCATGTCCGATTCTTAGGAGGGAAATTTTATGAAAAAACCCATTCCCATCTCCTTCTTGCTAGACGTATAAGTAAAGAATCCACAAGGTTTATTTCATCAAACATGAAGATCAATCTTGGAAATATATTTTTCCTTGCTTTTTTTCTCGTAGAGGTTTTGAAGTTTTTCAAAATAGAGAAATCACAACTGGAAATGATGCCATTCAAAAATAATTAGCTAAATTAAACTCACAGAATGTGATAAATCGTGCACACTTAGAATGCAAAGAGTGAGCTGATCAAAATCAACTGGAAATGAATGGGAAAATAGAAAAATTCAGCCAAGAAACGATCTTTTAGTTTGGGAAATCAAACTAGCTAAACATTTTATTCAAACATATATAAAACCAGAATGGATGGTTTTATCATTATTACCAGTGCTTACGCCGGAATTACGTCAAATTTTTGAACTAGGCGAAGGTGAATAAATAACATGAACTTTATAGAAGAGTTATTTATAAAACAATACTTTTCTTGACTTCTTAGCCCGAAATGGTTCTACTCGAGGAGGTTTAGTGGTTTGCCAAAAATGATTAGTTCAAGAGGCAGTTGATAATCGTATTTGAGGACAACCTAAGATAGAGAGTCATGATAGACAATTCAAATCTTTATTATTAAAAGCACAAGCAGAAGCTCGTTTACTTATGTTTATTCATAAAAGAGTTATCATCTTCAGCTACAGGAGAACCTATTTCTGTGCCAAGTCAAGATATGCTTCTTGGACTTTATGTTTTGGCAATGGAAATTTATGGATATATATAATCCCTCAAAAAATTATGATGGTAGTTTGTTTTTCAAACACCGTGTTTTTAAAGTCAGGATATTGTTTTTTGAGCTCTTCATCAAAAACACATTATTTACATAGTGCTTTACGGCTTCGACGCCAAATAAATTTACGAGTAATAACATTACCATTTGAAATTCCATATAAAGCTTTTGAAAATTCTTTTTAACTGTGTGAACATTACCAACTTAGAAAAATAAAAACCAAGAATAGACAGTACTTGTATTTGTACAACAGCTGAGCATATTTTTTAAAAAAATTGAAAAAGCTTTACAAGTTAGTTATAAAGCATCTCTAAAACAAAAAGCATATGTGTAAACGATTGAAAAAATTTGATATGAAGGAGCCATTATTTCAATGGATTAAAATCCTTGTTTATTCACGTTCATAATTACAAGTGGTTTTTTTTTATTATGGCAGAACCAGTCAATTTAATATTTATTAATTTTTGGATCTAACTGTCAAAAAACAACGTAGAAGCAGATTGATAGCACATATTGAAATTACATATAGCACAAATATCTAAGATCGATTAATAAAATGAGGGTTTCAAAAAGCTACTTTTGGGGCTATCCATTAGGTATTGATGATCTTTAACAGCACTTTCTAAAATTTGGCTTATTGAAGATGCAGAATAATATGGTAAACTTTCAGAAATACACAATAATTATGGGAGTTTACACGCAGTAGGAAAATTGTATGCTAACTAAAAAAAACTTGGAATGCTTCAAGTGAATATTTAGATAAGGAAATGAATCCTGATTTACGAATAACAGATCCGTTTAACCAATTCATATGCTGTCTTTCTCAAGAGCTCGAGGAAGCACATCTCAAGTTCATCAATTAGTAGGTATGAGAGGATTAATGTGAGATCCTCAAGGTCAGATTCAAAGATTTACCAATTCAAAGTAATTTTAGAGAAGGTTCATATCCAACAGCAATTCTTGCTATGGAGCACGAAAAGGATAAGTAGATCCTGCAATACGTACCTCGTGTGCCGGATATGATATCCGGCATGATATATAATGATTCGAGTAAGATATCTGGGATATCTTACTCGAAGATTTGTTGAAGTAGTTCAACATATTGTTGTGTGAAAAGTAGATTGTGGTACTCTTAATGGTATAAATGTCAATAATTTATACCGAAGAAAATTAATTTCGATAAACTTCCATATAGTCGAGATGAACATTACTATTTACATTTCTAATGCAAAACCGCGGATGAAATTCTAATTTCATACGGCTCCTCACTGTTTACTTGGATATAGAATACATATAGTTTTTACCAAGGAGATTCTCTGTGCTATGAAATAAAAGCTTTAATCTATCTGAATTTTTTTCAACTTTGGCTAGTGATAATTTGCAATATTTTTTTTAAATTTTTTATAAACTAAAATATAGAATTAATATAAGAGATGGTTGCGTTCTTTATAGTCATTTTAGCAATGGATATGCTTTTTTTTTTAAATATTCAAAGGAACCACAACTTAAATATCTCTCCTCATATTAAGTACTTCCTCTCATTGTAATTCATTTGAAACATTTTATGCTATTTTCATTTTGTTTTTTTTCTTATCTTTCACTCTTCCTTATTCAATATATATTATGTAATCAAAATATAAAATATTTATTTGATACTTTTTTTCTGTGAGGACTAGATCGCTACTCTGTTACCTGGAAAATATACCTTTTCATTTCTTGTATATAGCTTTCACCTTTTTAGAAAGAGTATGTGACTTGAAATTTTTACTGAAAATTACAATTGTTGTTTAATCTCACCCATATGACTATTTAGTTATTTATTATAAAAAAATTTAATTATTATTTTTTTTGGTAAGTACTTAAATGAATCAGACGTAGAGCTATAGATAAAACACTTAAGGCTAAAGGAAATTCATAACTAATAGATTGAGCGAGAGCAGAAGAGGCTTCTTTACCAATAGCTACTTAAACACATACTACATTTTGACCTTTTTGATTTAAATTAGCATCAATTGCTACAGCTGTTTTTCCTGTTTGTCTGTCTCCAATGATTAATTGTCGCTGACCACGTCCAATTGGAATCATAGATTTAATAGCAATGATTCCTATTTGCATGGGATCATAAACAGAACGTCGAGATACAATACCTGGAACTGGAGATTCAATTGATCTAAATTCAGGTGCTGGTACTTGACCTTTCCGTAAATCGCTTGAGCTAATGCATTTACAACACGTCCTAAATAAGCATGATTAACCGGTATTTGAGCAATTTTACCTGTTGCTTTTACAGAGCTAACTTCTTGTATAAGAAATCCACATTTTCTGATTCCAAATTTAAAGCAATTCCTGAAGCTTAAAATTCACTTATTGAATACAAATTCAACGCAGTTGCAATTTTGATATATTTTTTCAAATTTAAGTGAAAAGATTTTAGTTCGTCAAAATGTCGGAGTCTTTTCATATTTATAGTACTATCGGAGAAACGTTTTGTGTGGAGCTAACGTTTTAGTTATTATTATCTTTCGTTGAAATGCTTGAGTTTGTGTTCTTATTCATTATGCGGTTATTAAAAAAGAGGGTTTTTTGGGGATAGTTGTAGAGATGTACTCTAAATTCCCTTCACAAGTAAAAAATTTAAATTAAAGACCAATATTTAGTGATGTTCTATATATCTATTAGTATTATAATATATAAATTTTGGAATATAAAAATATTGTATGAATAAATTTGTTCAAATTTCAATTTTTATTTAAATTATATATTTTTAATAATATTTATTTATTTCAAAGTGATTCAGATTAGAAATAACTCATAATATAGGAGTAAAACTATTATCATTTTTCAAACAAATGATCTCTATTTCGAGACCTTTGTAATCGGGGTCTTGGATATTTGGCCACAATCATCTGGATTCTTTCTACAAAGATGATATATTTTATAATATCATAGAATTTTAAATTAAATATAAATTCTTCATTAATAATAATTTTTTTACATATATATATATATTCTATACTTAAAAGCAACTAGTAAAAACAATCTTTGCATTGTTAAGATCGTCATCGGATATTTAGCCACGTCTTCTGGTTGTAAAGTTGAATTCTAACTTCTAAAATTTCATTTCTTGCAAATACTTTCCAAATCGACGTAACTGTAGTTGGGGAGCATTGCACGAGTCTAGTTTGTCCACGACGTGATAGGACACGCTGGACTGAAGAATCGTCTGAGCTTTTGCCTCGCGATGTCACCTTTGAATTTTGAATTTCTTTACTTTACCGGGCTGAACCAAGTTCCGCTGCTGGAGCCGCTGCAGACCTTGCGTCGGGAACGAGATACAAATCTTTGCATGGGTTTAAGGAGCACGCAGAACCACGCGTGCGTGTTGAACACCAAGTCCTTGTACTGTCGCTTTCGAAGAGTTTCGTCTTCACAATCCGATGGCTCGAGAGCTCTGATTTGAGTTACGTTTGGTGACTGCATTCGACTGTTGCCACTTCGGCTGGTGAGATATGACGATTTCTTGAAAAACGAAATTTTCTAAAAGTTTGGGCGACATCTGAGGAAGGGCGGACTGCTCACCGCTAACACAGTCTTTAACCTCGACGTACAATTTAGATCTGTCTGATATAGTCTGAACTTAAATCGGAATCTTTCGTTCTAGATTGCCCCAAGAGCAGGAACAAATATCATGCAATACGTTGTTCTCGGTTATTTGATCTGGGGTACCATTTGCTGCAGACTCTTGAAAGGATACAACTGTAGTGCTGGCGATATGTTTATACCAGACGACTACCATCGTCATTCACTTACTTTTCTCCTCCACCTTTCCGAGGCAAGCGAGTTTTCTTTGTCACGTCAGTGTAATTGACTTCTGAAAGGCGTGTTTCTGTGCTGAATCGAAATGAATACCTTTCCGTGTTGATGCACACGGACCATCTTTTATCAGTATTCATGTTATAGTAAACATTTATGTTCTAAGAGGTTGCATTGTTTTACTAAATTGCAAGTACTTGTCGGATGTCTTCGTTGAAGCATCATGCTTATGTACATTAAAAATTCATGGTGGATAGTATTATTCTTTAGATCTACTGGTTTAGCAGTACGTTGCACTACTGGAAGATCATTTCCAATACATTATGCAGATCCTGGAGGTGGAGCCCATTACCAAGTACTGTGCGTTGCTTTTTTACGAGGATCGTCTTCTACCGCTTCTGAGAGGGTAATGAGTCATACTTGAAACGACAGACTCTCTATGGCATATTTGTATGTGAAATAACGTCATGCATGATTATGATCAATTCACTCATCGGTATGTTGGTCCTGAGCTGAACCAGCCTAAATAATTGCCTTGGCAGTCTGACTGAAGAAGAGGGCAGGATAAATTTAAATTCAGGCCACTTTCGTGTGTATCCTTTGACTCTTTGCAATCTGCAGCTACTTGGTAGCGCCTGTTTCTGGATTTCAGCCAAGGTTAGTAGTCCTCCATAAACGGGAATTCCAGTTTTCCCTCTAGTTTGTAACTATTAGTGTTTATGTATATGACATAATCATATCAATTAAGAAACACAGTGCTTTTTCTCTAAGCTAAATATAGGTGCATATTTTGAAACATAAAAGCAAAATGACTGATGCTGTTAAGTGGTCGCATTTTTTTCTTCAAGTTCGTGCATAGATTTCTTATTGGATTCCTCGTCGCAATCTCTCTTCACATAATTTTTGGACTAATGGATTGACTTGATAAATAGCTACATGAGAATGAAGTTCCATCCGCCAAGACATTGAAATCGTTATTGAGGGAATGTGTGACGGGTGCCTCTTTCAAAAGGAAGGATATCATCGGAGCTGTAAGTGTACAGAGAGATATGGACAAACACGATTTTATTTGTATCGTGACAGTCACTTGAAAGCATTGTGCATAGCAGACTTTCTGTAGCAAAGTGTGAAGTCCGCTTCGGTATGTGTATGCATTTTATTGTAGCACCAAGAGTTGTGTTTAACATTTATAATGAAAATGACTTATCTACCTCTTAACAGTTTCTAAAACTCTGAGCATTATGTGCCGTTGGACCTTTGCTTCTATACACTGTAATCTGGGTTTTCAGAGCTGAACAATTTTGCTGAATGATTTCAGTTCTGCATACTGGGCGCATTCAAAATGAAAAGTAGACGCGTAGATTTTTGTTCGTGTGCAACTACATGTAAATCTAATGCACACGGCCTTAGATAATGATTTTCTCAAGAGCTCACTTATTTTGGCTGACAACATGTGCTGTTCAAGAATCTGATTTGAAAATCTGCCTCGCTAGGAACGGCTCGTACTGGAGGTAACCTATTAAACATCTACTTGTAGCTCCATTGAGACGTTTGTGAGGTTTAAGCTTTTTTTACTGAACATGGTTTGAGCAGAATATCGTAGTCTTCAGTTCTCGGCATGAGTCATCAGAAGAGTTGGTTACTGGCCGGAGTAGCATCCCAAAGAATATTCAGGCACAAGAATGAAACTCAAATTCTAAACCGATTGAGGCTCATTAATGCTGGAAATATAAGCGGAAGATTCTGGAATTCTCCCCATGAATCTTCTCTGTAGATGTGTTTCTTGATGTTGAGTTTGATGTAATACCATATCGGATGTAGGCGATCAACTACGACATAACATGTGGACCAACAGTATATTCCCTACTGCAAATACTCCTCGTGAATCTCAGGTACAACATCCAAATCTTTAGATTCCAAATTCCTGTCACAAGAACAAAGTAGAGAGAGTGGCCTATTCTTGCCAATTGAACAGTTCATGTATTTCTGTCACCTGAGCTCTTCAGAGAGTTACAGCCTTCTTGAATATTTCTCTGAAGCCATCCATTGCCCAGTGGTCTTAGTAGAAGAAGAACAAACTAGAAGAAAGAACCGCTAACTGAATTTCAGGAAGCTGTATATTCATCATTCGAACTGAGCATAAGACAGATCAGTTCCGCATGACCTTTTAGTAACTTGCCAGAATGGTTTCTTTTTGGCGCTATGATGCTTCGAGCAAGTTTCATCAGTTGCTATCAAGATGCGCTAATCTGTCACCAACTTTAACTAGAAACGTAACGATTCTGGGAGACTTTATCACCTCGAAAGCGTGTGAATACCTACTGGACATCGTGTACGACTGCAGGAGCGTCCTGAAAACTCCAAAACCAATTGTAGCCGCAGCAGTACTGGTATGATCCTTGTGCAGAACTGTTTGGGTTTCCATTATAATTGCCTGTAGTGTCATTCATTTTTTAACAACTAGTTTCATTGAGTACTCCAATCCAGTCGTACATGAGCGAATAATTGAATTTAGTATTGAGCGCAGCATAGCGTCAGTCTCCGTAGTAAGATCTGCTAGTATCGGGTCCCTGGAGTTCTTGAAGCAGGCCTCTGGTTTTATGTCAAAAATATATTAAAGTAGTTTTGCGCAGGCCGTTGGCTACATTGTGTGCGTGCCGCTGGAAGAAAACAACTTCCCTTTGCTTCATTGGTGTAAGTATACGGTCCTCACATAATTGTTTCCATAATTTGGCATTTTGTATGGGATTTCATGTATTTTTATTACAAACCAGAAACTCTTACCGAGTAAATGACCACATATGTCCAGAAATCCGGCCCACCAAGTCCAGAACTTTCACTTATAGCTATGAAATGTGTCTTATGTATTCGCAGTGACGAAGACCACGAATGCCCACGCGTCGCATATCGAACGTGTTGTCAGTATCCTCCTGTCCTATGTTATGGATTGCCCTCCTGAGGAGTGTGGACAAAATGAGCAAGAAGAACTTTATAAATCAGCATCATCAGCAAACAACACAGTATTCTTCATTGAAGAGGATGATCAGTATGAACTGTGCACAATGCAGGGTGTTGTCTGAGCGCCATCATATAAATATATGATGGCGCTCCAAGCTTCATGTTTTAATTGCAGGATTAGGTTTGGAACTTCTGTGACAAGTTTTGGTGGTTTGGAATTCGATGAACAATATAATGTACATGAAGGATAGACACATAATTGATTAAGTCTAACTTGGCAGAATTTAGGGCGAATTGATACGCTGCAATGTGTCGAATTTCAGTTTTTATGTATGTTCATATATTGCGTGCACATTCCAATTAGACTCTTCAACAAGAAACTCGAAAATTCGTCTACATCGAGATCTTGGAAAATACAGGCTTCAATCTGGATACGTGACTAATCTGCGAGTTTCCACTCTATTCATAAGCCATCTCATATCTTCTTCAAGTGCAGACTATGTGGACATTATTGAATGGACACATAGTCTGCAACTAGACTATGATTATCTGAACTTTTGTCATGCTCAGAGTTCAATTTCTAACCGCATTCAGTTGGATCCTATACATGACTACGTGGAGAATCATTCAAAGCGGCCATACGTCTAAACATGGTGCAAGCAGGCCTTGACTATCAAACGAGCTGACCATATCACTTTCCTGCAATTAAAGAAACTTTTTGAGAGCTTTCGCTCATTGCCATATGTAGCCTGTATTCATTACATACTAGGAGCTCCAAGTCTGTTGCCACTCTCATGTCCCCAAAAAGAAGAAAACCATGCGAGGGTGGAATACCAAATTTCAAATTTTTTTCCCTCATGAAGTATATTGGAGTGGGTGATAATCAAATGTTCAACTTCCTGAAAATTGTTGAATTACGGATCTTATAACTCCGAAAGGCATGTGCGCAGACTGAATATCAATCTAGAGCAACTAGATTCAAGGATTGATGACCTGACCTTCCTCAATTCTGATCTCTTCATAGCAAATAGAAAAGGAATGTCATATCAAATGTTTAACCTGAAGATTCGTGTCATTATTGTTGGAGATATTTATTTGTGAGTTTGTGTAGGGCATACTTAGTAAAGTAGGGTACTTTTGTTCGTTTTTAGGGCGATCTTCGGGTGAGAGAGAGACTGACCCGAAGATGATAGAAAGCTCAAATAAATGCTTATTTAAAAGAAGAACCTTGGCGGCTTGTGAGAGAGACCGTGGCTACTGGGGGGTGCAGGAATTCTGCAAAACCGGGATAAATTCACATTCCACAACTCTTTTACAGTAAGTGCATTTTGCAGATTCACTATTTTGACAATTACTACCATGAAGCTCGTTGTCATGAACTAACACAGCTGCTAGTTGAAGCAGCTGAAGAAAATAAGAGTGGATGAGTCGAAATCTCATATTGCCTATAGTACGAAGAGGTGCAAAGTGGCCAAGAAAATTACTTTGAAATTTGGATTGTGTTTTGTACACTGAGATATTATATATCTTGCATATTATATATTTTGATATTTTGTACATTGAGATATATGTTCTGCATATAGCTCTATGTTACAAATAAATGATTGAAGTCTTGTAATTATGTAATGACAGACAAATACCAAAATGAAGCATAATGATACAGATCCGATCTCACGAGGACAGAAACAACCACAACAGTCATGATTTATCACAGATTAGCATTCTATTAAGGAGTTTTATTTCTTAAGCCAATGCTACTCCCAGCTACGGCCGAAGACCTGCGCATAACCACACTCACAACTTGAAACTTTTCCAATCAACACCTGCGGAAATCGCCTGCAATCCCGCACTCATATTTCAAGGGAAAAATTTCCCAGCATTGCATACATTCCAACTCACTCACCCGAATACCCGGCCTCGAACTTGCTTAAATTCCAAGGAGCACACAGCTACTCAGAACATTCAAGATGTACATTCACCACTCCCAATGCGGTAGCTTCGACAAACAGTAGCGCACTGTACTCAATGCTAGGATCACACACCAGCGCACAAGCACGGTGGACACAGGTTTACAGTCAAGACAAGGCAAATGACAGAAAACCCCCCAAGGAAAGAGACTTGGATCCCTTTATTCACAATGGCAAGTCTGGAATCTCAACCGCCTGAGGCGAATCGGTCTTAGGGGCTGTGCCGTCCGATGTAGCGGTTATAGCGTCGTCTGAACTATTCTCTGCTCCTAGTCTACGCAAAATGTTTAAGATCTCTAACTCTACATTATGGCGCGTCTCATCGAATCCCTCCAAAAAGGTCTTAACTATCTCTACAATCCGCTTCTGTCATGCGGATCTGCTGGCCTTGGTGCTCATCAACCGTCGCTCGAGCGAATCTAATTTCAGCCACTTCACCGTTTGCAATCCCCACATCGCAAATCAGCGCAGGCACTTCTCTACACGCAATATCAACTCATCGGTTGTCTCGTCCCGTAGATGACGGTACGTCTCCTCGGACTTCTCCATTCTCCTTTGCCACTCTTGGGATCACATGTCCGCCTTCCCTATCTGCTCTTGTAACCGTTGGCGTTCTGATTCAACCTTTAATCTACATTCGACCGTCGAAGATTGGGCCGATTTGCAATCTGCCAACTTCTTGGCCCAATTCGTCAACACCTCTTCATGCTTTAGAACTTCCTCCGCCAGACTTGCTGATAGCTCCTCTGCGCGTTGGAATTCCTTGTCGCATTTACTCGCAATCTTCACCAGCTTACTTGAAAGTTCTTCTTCCGTCGTCTTCGACTCTACAATCTTTCCCCGAAGTTCTTCGGCGATACGAACTTCTTCGGCTCTTCGGGCCTCCACTTTAGCAAAATCTTTGACATGCATCTTCTCTCGCCTTTTTGCAGTGGTGATCAGCCGCTCCGATCGTTTGATTGCCGCATCATACGCTTCTCTGGATTTTTCCAATCTCGCGAGCAGATTCACTGTCATCTTCTGCCCATTCTCGTTAGAAATGCGAAGTCCACCGCAGGTTTCCTCCAACTCTGCACACCGTCCGGATTCCTTCGCTAAATTCAATTGCAGCACCTCGCACTAGATCTCTTTCTACCGAAGCTGGGCTTCTCGCTCCTTCAATGCCGCCTTCACTGCTGCACACTCGGCTGTCAAGATTGCAGCTCGTTCTCGTGCCATCTTAGTCGCGGAATCCCACTTGCTCTTCACCGCTTCTGCTCTCTTAATCTGAGTCCTATTCCTCACCAATTCTACATAGAATCCTACCTCCTTGTACACAACATTCTTCTATCTCTTCCCGTCCAAGTACTTCATTAGTGGAACCACACTGTCCTGTAAGAAATCAGGGAAGGTGACCTCTACCCCCTTCGATTCCTCCTCCGAAGTCTTCTTCTCTACTTCGGGTCTCACATCTTCCACAGGAGATGACGGCAATGTCACATCAGCAGCATCTACCACCGTCCCTCCAACCTGCGCAACAACCTACTCGAGTATTTTTTCACTCATAGTGAGCTCCTTCACCAGTTCTTCGCTTGTCTTCGGTTGAGGTACTTCCTCACTCCCCACAGACCGTGTCTGCTCCGACGACAGAGAATTTGGACTTACCATCTCCGTTTCCTCCTTCAAAGGCTCCGCCGTTACATCTGCTAGAACTTCGATTAGTACCGCCGAAGTTCCTTAGATCATCACATGCTATGTCGACTCGCCAACTACGACTTCGGGTGAACTCACAATTGGGGCAACTGTCTTCTTCACACTAGTATTTGATACTACGGTTACCATCCATCCTCGACTCGTCTTCCTCTTTGGTCTCGCGTGAGTTCTCGACTGCCTAATTACTTCTACCTCCGTTTCCGCTCTTCTGAGCCCTAGCGTCAAATCTTCCTCATCACCAGTCACCACCTTCTGCCTCTTCGCCAATCGCTGTTCTGACTTCTCGCAATTTGGCAGAACATCCATCTGAACGGTCCTCGTGCTGTCTTCTGTGGTGGAATTGGAGGTCGACTAGTATTGTCTTCGGTCCCTTCATTGGACATCGCTGTCAAGATTTCTCGTTCCCTCAGAAATCGCTTCTCTTCCTCCCTCATAAGCAATCCCATGCCCCGATAGAAATTCACAAGGTAAGGGGTCAAATGATTGACCAACGACCCCGTCCATCGGGAGCTCGCATTCACCCAAACAAGATCTTAAAAGACTCTTGCCTAGTGCACACTCTGTCCATTCAAGACTCGCTTGAAGAACCCCACTTGCCTGGCCGTCACATACGTCGTGCGTTGCAGTCGCAAGATGTGCATAATTCCTAGTGCAATCGTCCGTCTCTTTGGATCCTTGTAATTGACGGCATTCCATCCATTCGTCCCCTGCCTCCCTGAACTGAAGAGTGGTCCATAAGAGAATTCTTCTATGCGCGTGAGTCCCACACTACTCTTCTCAAACAAGAGGTCCACGTCGCTACCTGCACACGGTCCCATCAACTTCGCCCAATGCTCAATCATCCACAGCGTGGGATTACCTCGGAGATCTTCACCCTCGGTCTTGTTCTTATCCATAATTTTCTTGCATATACTCGCCGAGATACAATTCCAATTCCATTAGAGAAAATCGAGACGCAATTCGCTCAGCTCGCGCTTGAAGGTTCGTAATTCCTCATATGGCACCTTCAAGGGAATCAATTTCCGCACCTTGTCACTCTTCTTGGGCGGCGTCATGTCTCCAATTTGCATCTTCGCTGCTAGCAAGGTCAATCGATTCTGTCCTCTCTCCCTCTCGCTTGTTCTTGCTTGATATCGCAATGTCGGCGCGAATGCTCCTCGTACTGCCTTTACCCTTGATTCCCTAACATTGCTTCCTCCCGCGCCTAGTAGAATTCTCGACGCGTGCAAACGTCGTCCAGCCCGTTGCGCAATTCGAATTGATTCCGATGCCTTCTCCGAAGACGCAGCTCTTCCACTGTCCAGAAAAGGCTGCGCCGAAGATCCGAAAATCTTCAGCCGTAGGCGAATACTAACTAATCCTATCATAACTCCTCTAAAGCTACTCATTCTAACTCATATGGCTACCTTCTACACAAATATATTTAAGTTTTTGTTGATTTTTGAAGAAAAACAAAAAAACTAGGCACCACAAATTAAAAACACACTTTTTGTGAAACAATAATAATGAGACAAAAGCGAGAGAGTATGAAAGCAAAAATCTAGCAAGACCAATCACCTAAATAACTTAGAAGAGTACTCTACAACAAAACTTTCAGTCAATCTTAGAGCACTTTTATGCACATGTAA